CGCGTTTAAATAAAATTGACTGGGTAGACGTTGGAAATCGTCAATTATTGTGCTTTTTTAAAATAGCAACAAATAAACAAGTTATAATTACAGAATAAGCAAATTGAACCAAGTCTTATGAGAGGTCTTTAGAACCGAATTTACCAGACTTATGTTCAATAAGTCATCCTGATAATTTATCGATAACTTCTCAAATTACCATTTATATACAGAGTGTTTCGTTTCTATTGCTACGAACTTAAACAGATAATAAAATATTTAATTTTAAGACAAAGGGTTTCAAAGAACATGTAGAGAAAAGTACTATGATGTAAGGGAGCTACTCCCCTTGAAAGGGGTGCTTCCATTATTTCAGAAACCATTTTAGATAAAATTACAAAATTTGGTACAGCTGATAACCTTTATAGTATGTACATACATATATACACCTAAATTTGTACCCCAGAATAAAACTGTACTAACTCCAAATTTCTTGAAAATTGGGTTTCCACAGATTCATGTAGGTATAATATCTTCCCAGCCTTCTGGTGCAAAGCAGTATTAAATTATATCTTTGATAGTTAAGAAGATACGCATTTTTAAATGATATTAACTCTAACTTAACGTAACGCTTTTTAAAATTTTCAATTCGCATTATCTCGTATTTGTGGTTTTGTGACTTAGTACACTTTTATTCTGAGGTACACAAACGAATTCAAAGATAAAATGTCAAATTTCTAATCAGAGGTGCTTTAAACTGGGGGGATATAGCTAAAAAGTATCCTAACTGCTTTGGCTGTAGCTTCTTGCCAGTTTCAGCAACAATATTCCAAATTTCATAGTTTTTCACAAAAAAAGTCTCTTGCGTTTTTTCGATACAACTTACCGTTTTTGAGTAAAATCAGTTTACGTTCATTTACTTTCATAAGAAACTTTTGTCTTGAAATTGAATAGGTATTTTATCACCTGTTTTAACAATAAAAACGGAACACCTCTATATTTAACAAAAATTTGATTTGGATATTCATTATCCCATGATAATGAATATAAATTAATATCGGAAAATTTCCCATTTGTAAAACAAATCTCTCACATTTATCAAAGTCCTGGAGAAGTTGTAATCATAGATGAAAATAAATATTATTTCATAGATTTTCCTAGTTTTCATATAAAGCATTCTGGAAACGTTCATGAGCTGTAATAAAAAATTGAAACAATTTTTAATTCATACACAGGACGTACTTTTATATTTTATGATAATTATTATTATATTGAATTGAGTAAATGAAATATGAAACCCAAACAACACAGAATTATTAACGAACTATTTTTTGATGTAAATGTTTTTCGATATAAAAATGGCATATTGTACTTTTTTGCTTGAATGTGCTTGTTTGTCACTGACAAAACCGTATTGAAACTGTGTATTTATTTTGTTTAATAAAACTGATGTAATCCAAAATTGAAAATTTTATTTAGAAAGGGCCAATTCATGTCCATTAGCATGGTATTTTGCCTTTTTTTTACATGATGTCATATCTTTATTGACATTTCCATACTCAATTGGAAAAATCTTTCCACTTTTACTCGTTACACGTGTATGTATGTAATGAGTTTTTGCTCATGATGGGCTGAAACAACCAAACAAAAACAGGCCAATAATGTGTGATAGTTATATTCCTATCTAAATTAAGGGCGCATATTAATTTCAGCGTGCATAGAGAGCGTGTAAACATAATCAAGTTTTCAAATAGCCGATAATGAGTTTATTTAACCGAGATTGCAGCTGTACGGTGAGGCAGGAATTAGCCTTAATAGCAGGCGTTACAATTCACACGATCCGCGAACTTGTAGATATCTGCATCGCTAATATGCCTTTTACGGCACCAGTAGTTATTGCTTGCAATATAATCGAAGTTTTAACCTTAGGCCACGGAAAAAATGTCGTTTTACCGCCAGTACTTAACTAAGCAGATGCAATAAGAAGGTGGATGAGTTTCATTTATTTTTCATTGCTCTGGAATAATTTATTCATGAAATCTTCAGTGACATCTTCGGTAAATACGAAGGGGTGAAATTTACCATCACACGTCAAATAATTAAGTTCTCATTAGACCGAAAATAACGATACAAAACAAGTGTGTAAACAAGAAAGCGACGGATATAATTACACCCCTGTGGTTTTATATAAACATAATTACAGCGCCGTGTTGTTGAGATAAATTGCAGGTCGTTCTACTAGGATCATAAAATGCGTTTCCGTTATTGCAAAAGGCTTAAGCTTTTTGTGGTAAACACATTTCATTTATTTAACATTTATTAACCGAAACCTAAAAAATTAAAACGTTTTCTTTATTACAATTTCAGTTCTGTAATTGTTTTTGAAGCATTATGATTGGTCGATGGTAACGGAAGAAGTAAGTTGATGGATGGTCTGATAGCGCAGGGTTGTGTCACTACAAACAACGGTCTAATGTGACCGCGACACGCGCGATGGTCTTTTATACTTAGCCTTTTCAACTGTCACTAGCTTATCTTTTTATTGTGGTCCTTGTAAATGTGAGAGGGAAAAGTGCATACTAAAAAAAAACAATCATTAACACTACACGAGAAAAACATAGTGGCCTAAAGAATGACTTAAATTTTATATTAAAAGTTGTTGAGGAATTCATTTACTATACAATTTTTTTAACATTTTTAGTAATCTAATTAATAGCAACTTCGACTTAACAAAAGTTTACAGAGATTTTTATGTCAAATTATACCAACTTGCCTTCCTGAATCAATTTAATCTCCAGTTAGAAAAAAATGTAAACTCTTAAATAATTTAGTCATTATTTATAGATACAAACATTACTTTAAAACAACTTTTTTAGGCATAAAAAGTATTCAAAAACACTCAAATTTTAAAAAATGCATTTTAACAACAAGAAATGGTCTTATACAGTTCGTTATTTAAATTACCGCAATTATCTACATACATTTAATTTAATTATAACAAAGTTAAAAATAAAATAAGGACTGGTAATAAACTTGGAAAATATTGTTCGGTCATAAAACAAATGTCCTGAGTCCCGTTTTTATGCCCTAATAATGATTTAGATACGTTAAATGTGTCCATATTTCCGCCAAATGCTCCTCGAGTATCAACAGAAAACATATCGAGTCCTGATAATGAAACATGCATGCAGCAGCACTATCGCGGTCCCATCTCGTGTCAATATAGCTGTTTACAGCAAAGGAGAAACATATCAGTTTGTGCTGGTCACATCGATCATGTTATAGCCTTCGCTATGTTATTATCATTAGCTAAATTGCAGGCGCATTTTATTCCCTCCATCAAAATTAATTTTCAACTTTGTTTAATTAGCAAGTGGCCACTCCCACCGTCGTCAAGAAAATCCTCAGGTTCAAACAGGAAAATCCCGGGATGTTCGCTTGGGAAATTCGGGAACAGCTCATAGCTCAGCGCGTTTGTGAGCCACACAACATTCCCTCAGTGAGTTCCGTCAATCGGATATTGAGGAATAGTGGTGTGTGGCCGGACCCTCCTGAAATTCTGCACCACCCTCGACCACCACCTCCAGGTAATTTCATTTCAGATGGATCTACCTGGACTAGGTTGTAATTTATCGTGTTCATATTTTACAAAATGCTGCTTCAGTGGGATGTCTTCATTAGGAAATCGACGAGACCGATCAGAAATTAACTTGGGGCCTAATCGTAAATGTGAGATCTAAAATGTGCAGAAAACATAAAATGCCTGATATAATGAGGTCTAATAGCGATTTATGGCTGACGCAGCTTGAGGTTGTGATACTGACATCCTATGTTTCTTATACTTTCTTTCACGCAGCGCGTAAGAAAATAATTACTGAGTATTAAATCGTTATGTAACTAATTGAAATTAATTATAGAAAGTTTTTGCTGTACTCCAAATCATATTTTGTACCCGTTACTGAGAGATAACGATTAATTTCGATGAACTTAACCGTCCAAATATCCGTAATTTGCTCCTAAGTGAAATTAACTTTTTTCAGATTCTCTAATACGAGGAGAAATGTATTCGAAAATGTCGACCAATTTGAGCACTCTCCCTTACTTCTCAATGCACGACTCGACTTACCCAAGTAGCAGATTAGCGGCTCTTCAACATCAACTTCACATAGCAACTTCAACTCCCCTAGACTTACCCACAGTTGCCAATTGGTCAAATTTAATAATTCCTTATCAACCACCAAGTCATGAAACTTCAAACCAGGAAGACAAAGAATGTGATATATCAACCGAGAATAATGAAAAGCAACAAGAACTCAAAAGAAAAAATCCCTACTCCATTGAGGAACTCCTCAAGAAACCAGATAAAAAGGTCAAACCTCCCAGTGTCACAAATGTGGGGATTCAACAACCGTTTGGAGTGTTTGTTGCACACGACATGGAAGAAAAAAATGATAGTGATGTTGAAAGGGAAGTTAAAGTTGATGTTGAGTGAGAATGTGTCATTTTTATTTAATCTAGTAATTGAACCTATGCCATAATTGTACAAATATTTATTTATTTATTATGTAATATAGATACGTTTTTAATTAAGGAGACGTCATTTGTTTGTGTACAAAAATATGTAGGAGCAGCCAAAAATCTAATAAATTATGAAACAGCTGATTCTGTTATTTTACCTGCTTCATTAAATTTTGCAAGCTACCTAAAACATCCAAAGATAAAATCGGATAAAAGCTACATCTTAGATCTTTCAAGATTTAAAACGGTACTTGAAATTATCTTAGGAGATTTCTACACAAGATGTTTAAATAAGAGAATAAATATTTATCAAAATTTGTTTGTTTTATGGAATGATAATGCATTGTCCTTACATCACGTATAAAAATAGCGCTACCTTTCTTTTACTCACCTGTATTTAATCACTACATTAATAGATTAATACATATTCATCTTCTGACAAAGAAAAAATTCTCTTCCTCAGCCCCTTGTGTGCACTAGCTAAGGTAAGTGTTCATATTTTTTTCTAAATGCCTTAAAATTAACTGTATACTGCTCGCATATTATCAATTAATCAATTGATTATTAAAGTTAAATGTTCCTACTTTGTCTTGAAAGTCCTTGAAATCAAGGATCAAAAAACAAAAAAATTGGAATTCGGAAAAGACTGCTGTGATTTTTTGTCATTCTTTTAAGGTTAAAATAATTTAAGTAGTGTCAAACAAAAATATTAAATAAGTGTAAATGTGATAGTGTTGTTGTTTGAGTAGACGTACTATATGAAAAAAGAACCTTCCTGCTCGAGACAATTACAATGTTTCAATGTAAAATTTTACTAGACAATGAGAAAGCCACATTTCACACGGACTCCCACGTCTCTGGAATATTTAAATGTTTTTGCAAACACAATATCAGAGTCAGAAGTGTGAAAATTCGACTAGATTGCATCGAATACGTGAAATGGAACAGATGTCTTCGCTTTGTAAAATATGACAATTACAATGTGATATACTCCCACGAAGAAAACATTTTTACCGCGAAGCGGGGAGTTAAAACTTATCGTACCGGAGAATTTGCTTATCCTTTCCGGATTTTTATCCCTCGCTATTTACCATCAACGTTCACCCACACTTATGGAAAAGTATTTTATTTAATAACAGGGACCGTAATTCCCTTCATTTGGAATGATTTCGTAGACACGGTAGTAATTTTGGTCCAATCACCAGTGGAACTTTACGGAATAACGAGGAGTTTTCAAAGAGAGAAAATCTATTACAACGAAACAAAATTCAGACGTTGGAAATATGGCAAAGAAGGAAAATTGGTGATGCAAGTACGGGTTCCCCGGACTGCTTTCATGCCCGGGGATGTTGTTGATATTAAAATTTATGTGAGGAATGAGTCTAATCAGACTGTAAAAAATTTAAAAGTCAAATTTTCGAAACGAGTCAAGTTTAAATCGATTAATCCCAAAAACAAGAGTAAGAGACATGTGGAAACGATACTCAAGTTCAAAAAAGAAGGGATTGGTGCTTATAAAGAACACACTTATGATGTAAGATTAAATTTTCCTAAAGTTTTGGATATACCGAATTTGTTTTCCTGTACTTTGATTAAGTTAGAGTTTTCGCTGAAAATATGGTGCCAAATGCCCCCGTGTATTAAAAATTTTTCTATTGAAATTCTTCCAGAGATGGGACATTTTTTCAGTGGGTATGTAATCCTAATAATCGTTAATCGCTATTAACGCTTTTGATATTTAATTTATTTAGTCAAAATTTTTATGCCGAGCAAAAACATACTGTTTTGATAAAATCGATAAAAAAGTTTACAAAACATTTTAAAAAAGTTTACGGGTATTTATTTATTTTAGAAAATAAATTGAATTGAAATTAGTTGAATACACATATTAACATACTTAAAAACAAGAAAGTAATAAAAATATTCAGTTTTCAACTAAGTGTTATGTAGGCAACCAACAATGAGAAGCGGTGAGCCGGTTGTATATAATACACAAAGTTTTTAATAATTAAAAAAATACGGCTTTTCTTCTGATTGGTCACATCTTATAAATATTTTGAAAGATTTGGCTGATGCACCAATCACACCCCTACATTTTTAAATCAGTGTAACACCCACAATAATACAAGTCATCCACACCTAACCTAACCAAACCCGTAATTGCCCTGTTGTCTCTTTCAAAGTGTGTGTTAATAAACCATTAGCTTGTCTATTAATTAGTCCTTGGTTTTTAACAGGTTTGGTTGAATTGTCCAAAGTATGCGACATTTATTATTTTGCATTTTTAATACAAATTAATTTAATTTTAGAATGAGTTCTGAACTTGATAAATCGCAACATATCCTGCCCTTGGACCAACCCATTGTCACCCTAGAAGTTGCCTCAGCATTTAAAGGTCTAACCGACACTGAGAAAAAATACGCTCATCATATAAGTGAAGCTTCCTGGACAGGGGGCCTAATAACCTTTTTGCAAACAAGTTCAGAATCAGGACCCATTTTTGTCCTTTTACATAAATTATTCTCAGGTCATAAGCCTCAAGAGTTTAAAAAGACAGCTCTTCAAGCTGGATTTACTGAAGATGAAGCTAAGGCTCTTTTGATTTACACTTGTGGGGTTTTCAGTAATGCGGGGAATTATAAGGTGATAAAAACTGTTTTATGTAGCTTATGTAGTAATTGTGATAATTTAGGGTTTTGGGGACTCAAAATTTGTCCCGGGAATTCCACAAGATAGGCTTGAATCGCTCCTTGCAGCCACTCCTGTATGGCCAAAAATCAAAGAATTGTGGTCAAAAGTGAAGGACGCTATGTATGATCTTAGTCCTGGTAAAACATGTCTAGGATATGCTCCTCATGGATGCACAACCTACTTGTCAAAAAACTGCACTCCTGAGGATAATCAAAGAGTTCAAGACTGGATGAAAACTCAAAACATTGAAGGTTATAATACGCGTTTATTTAAAACGGTGCTCCCAGATGGAAAGGTAAAATAAAAAACGTGAGAATTGTTAGTTAATAAAGAAGTTAATTATAGATTGATTACGAAATTCGGTTGGCTTCAAAAGAGACCGGCGAAATCACTAAAGAAACCTATGGAAATATGACGTTTCGCTTAACTAAAGGCGACTATTCGCCGATTATTGGAAAAGTCGCCGAAAGTCTAGAAGAAGCATCAAAATACGCTGCCAGTGTTACTCAAGCTAATATGTTAAAATCTTACGCTCAGTCGTTCATTACGGGTTCTCTGGACCTTCACAAAGATGGTTCTCGCTACTGGATTAAAGATAAAGGACCAGCTGTGGAAACCTATATTGGCTTCATTGAAACCTACAGAGATCCAGCTGGAATTAGAGGCGAATTCGAAGGGTTTGTCGCCATTGTTAATCGCGCAATGTCGGCGAAATTTACAACTTTAGTCTCCAAAGCTGAGGAATTTTTACCTCTATTGCCTTGGCCTAAAGGGTTCGAAAAAGACAAGTTTTTGAGGCCCGATTTTACTTCGCTTGATGTTCTTACGTTTGCGTCAAGTGGAATACCGGCCGGCATCAACATTCCTAATTGTACGTATTTTACTTTTTCTGGCGTAGGTGGCAAATTATTTTTTTTAACAAATAATTAAATTTTACTTTATATTATTCAGACGACGATATCCGGCAAAGCGAAGGTTTCAAAAACGTCTCCCTAGGAAACGTCATCCCAGCAAGTTATCAAATGACTGTGATTCCATTTTTGAACGAATCTGATACACAATTGATCCAAAAATATCGCGTGGCTTCCTTTGAATTACAGGTAATGCCGTTCTGGTAACTACAAATATGAAATTGTAAATGTCTAGGTGGGCCTTCATGAATTGTTGGGTCACGGTTCCGGCAAACTATTTTACCGTGCAGCTGACGGAACGTTTAATTATCCAAACACCCTCTTGGACCCCTTCACGGGGAAACCCCCATCTACGTACTATGAACCTGGAGACACCTACGATTCGCGTTTTGGCCCTATGAGCTCTTCTTACGAGGAATGCCGAGCTGAAGCGGTCGGTTTATATTTAAGTCTCGAACCGGCGGTGTTACAAATTTTCGGTCACAAAGGCAAAGAAGCTGAGGATGTGCTTTATGTGAATTGGTTGTCTTTAGTTTGGAACGGCATAGGCCGAGCTTTGGAAACTTGGGATCCTAAACGAGGTTGGCTCCAAGCCCACGCCCAGGTAAGAAATGAAAATTATTTTTTTATACTTGAAATAATTTTTTTAGGCTCGATTCGTGCTAGCGCGAGTTTTGATTCAAGCCGGTGTTGCAAGTGTCACACAGCCCAGCGAAGGTGATCTGTTAGTCACTCTAGATCGTGCTGCGTTGAAAGGTGCCGGTCGGAGTGCCATCGCTCATTTTCTTCTACAACTGCAAGTTTACAAAGCAACAGCGAATATTGAAGCAGCTCAGAATTTGTATCAGCATTATTCCGAAGTGTGTGAGCCGTGGTTGAGTTGGCGAGCGATTGTCTTGGCTAATAAACAACCTAGGAAAATTTTTGCACAGGCTAATACAGTACTGACTAAATCAAACATTGAATTGAAAACATATGAAGAATCCCCTGATGGGATGATTCAGTCCTGGACTGAAAGATTCTCGAATCCGGAACCTCTCTATAAGGCTTTGATAGATTTAAGTGCCTCTGACGAGCACTATTTTATTTAATTTTTGCTAGAAATTAATTGGTAGATTATGTACTATGCTTTATATACATTAAAATGTTTTTTGCACGTTAAAACTTTTCGTTCGTAAGACCAAACATTTGGAAAAAGGGTTTAAATGTACTTTCAATTTCAAAATATTTTCATATATTTACGAATGATAGATAAAATTACGAAAAATCATTCCAGTTAGGTACATAATGCAACAGACTACATCCATCAATTACACTTATATTACTATTTGCCCCTACTATGTATAAAAGTTGAATAAAAACCTAATTACAAAAATACGACACATTCAGGAAGGGGGTCGCGCCCATGTATACACATAACCGTCTTGGCACGCCGTAATTATACAATCAGGTCGAAACACCAATGCTGTCAACCTTTCATGAGCAATTTTTTTACAAACTAAAGGTTCCAATACTGGACACTCATCTAACCTGGGACAAGCCGGTGTCCCCACTAATTGTAAAGGATCAGATCTCCTTTTAACCTTCGGTTTGGAAGGGGTCGTCAACGCATCTTCAGGCAATTCCCAAAGACACAATTGCGTGTCATGCCCCACAGACCCCAACCTGTAGCAAGACTCGGCCTCTAGAAACCAATCAAAAGCCACTGCTGCCACCCATGAGCGATGCCCCTGAGCCCTTCCCACGACACGTTTTTGCTCCATTGAGTAGACCGTGACCAAGTCGTCTTCGCCCCCTACCGCAATGAGGCGGCCGTCGCCGGACCACGCGACACAAAGTAGCCCCCCAAAGTATGACCGGGCGGTCCCTAGAAGCTCCATACTGTCGTACTGGAACACTCGTAGTTGTCCATCTTGGGAAACTATAGCAAGTTGGGATCCATTGGGACTGAAAGCCAGCTCGTTGATGGCGCCTCCGGTGCCTAGGAGCCACCTAAATAGGGGGTTTCGGGTAGATTTCGTTTTACAAGTGCTCACACTGAAGCCTTCTCCGACTTTGAAGGGTTGATAATGTGGGGCTGCCGAGCCACAAGGCAGCTCCTCGTTGTAGACATACAACTGGCCTGATGCATGTGCTGCGAGAAACAAAGAGCGACTACCGGGCACCCATCTCAAACACGTGACCCTCGTTTTGTCAATAAGTCTTTCCTCATTGAACAGTTTATTCAATTCTTTTTTAATTGGATCAATTAGCTGGATCTGACCTGTGCTAAAGCCAATCAAGAGACTAACGCTTTCGCTCGATGCTGAGGCAATGTTGAAGTCATGACACGTCGGATTCGTCCCTTTGTACACTTTTTTCTCCAAAGGCTTACTCAAATCGGCGGCTTTCTTAATTCCCTTGTAGACATAAACGTACAACTCTCGGCCATGGTTGAAGCAAATCCTCTCGCCCTGGTCTGGAAGAGTGACCAGGGAAACACGTACTTGCGGTGGTGTTTGTCCCTGAGTTTGGTAACCGACGCGATTAGGTCTCGAATATTCACTAAGGGTCATGAGACGATAGGTGCCTTCGCGTGTCACGAACTGGGTCTTCACGTCGCCGGGTTCTCCTCCGAGGGGGCGTTCCAGGGGGCGGTCTCCAGCTTCCAGAAGTGACTGACTGCATAAAGTGTCTGCTCTTGCCATTTTCGGAGCCAAGATACGCGAAGACATTCTATGACCAATTCTACAATTTACACACATTTATGAGCCGAGGTGCGGACGTTGCAGCATTTTCGCAGTGCGAGAGAGGTGTCTTTAGTGGTTTTATCACATTTTTACTGGTAATACAGTTAATAAACTACTTTTAAAAACTATTTTAGACATAGCAAATGAGGTTAGGAAAAAACTATTATTTGAAAAGCAGAGGCACCAATAGTGAAAAAGAATATTCCTAGCAGCGGCGACCGAAAGAGCGGTTTATTTAAAACCTAATTCTGTACCTCTGAATAAAAGTGTACTAAGACACAAAATCACAAATACGAAATAAATCAAATTAAAAATTTTACGGCGTTACGTTAAGTAAAGTTAATATCATTTAAAAATGCGTATCTTTGTAACAATCAAAGATAGGATTAAGCCTGTTTTGCACCAGAAAGCTGGGAAGAAATTATACATAAATCTGTGGAAACTCAATTATCAAGAAATTTGGAGTTAGTAGAGTCAGTTATAGTATAGAAACTCTAGAAGTTAATACCTTTTTATTCTAGGGTACAGCTATATTTTTGTTATGATATTTGCTTTTGTGTATGAAACACATGTACCAATTTGTGTACAAAAAGTAGGAATTCATGTAGGTAAATACTTTTCTGCATAAAAAAAATATATCACAGAAACTTCAAATATTCCAATAAGGCAAGTTTAGTTATTTTGAATTCTTTTGAGCTGTACTATATCACCTGCTGTTAAAATATTTGCATATACTTTAAAATCATCTCGTATATCATCACTTCATCAGTACGGTCTCATTAAGACATAATTATTATTACTGATAAAACGATAATAATGTATTATCTACCCTTTTGAAGTTATTGAACTAATTTTTTCTTTAGTTATTGATAAATACCGTCTGGACATTGGTCTGGAAATAAACTAAACACATGATAACTTTTGTAATACAATTATGTTATGTATATCTAATAAATTATTTATCTTAATATTCATATCATAATGTACATAAATATTTAGGTATATAAATCAATTGTACCTACTTACACTATCAATAAAAAATAAATAGATTTTTTTTAACTTGTGTGAGATAGTTTGACTTTGCACATATTTTTGTACAATTAAACTTGTTAATTATTATTTTCGAGGTTACCACGCGCACCAAACATATAATTTGGGAACACAATAATATTTTACTGCGTGTAAACCTGTAAACAACAAAAAAATAATGCTGAAATTAACTATGTATTTTACGAGTGTAGCTATATTTAATGATAGCAAAAATAACGACTTTTATAAGAGTTTTTTGATTTCCAGTTTTTTTGTTACATATTTTCTTTTAATGCATTTGAAAATCAAATTTATCGTACAGAAAATAATAATTACAACTAAAAGAAGAAAAAGTAGAAATATGAACACTAAATCTAAATTAACTGATTCTATAAAATTCATGTTTCTCGTTGCTAAATTTAAATGTTTTGCGGTTTTAAATTTTAAAATATATTCAGTCCAAAATATCGCAGTATCTAAAGGCTTATTCATTTGATATTTGTATAACAAAGACCATTTTTTTGCGTTTTCCATGTAGCTAAAAATTATAATTCGATATTTGTCTTATTACAATGATTAACAAACTTACGAACTATTGTTTAATACTTTTTGTATAACATTGAACAAATTGTGTTCTGTGATTTCAGAAAAACTTAATTTTTCCCCAACACCTTTTGCAATAAACGTTTCAACATTTTGTAATTGATCCAAGAAGAAAGGAATTCCTATTACTGGTACTCCATTATACATGATTTCGTGTGAACTTAACAAACCTCCATGTGATATAAAAAGAATTGTATTTGGATGACCTAAAATTAGAAAACTGAAAAAATTATAAAAATATTGAGAAAACATACCGAGAATATCATTTTGAGGTACCCATTTTCGTACATGCACATTTTTCGGAAGTCCCTCCAAATGATCATTTTCAAATTTCCATATTACAGTTTGTTTCAGTTTTGAGAAAGTTTTAATAATTGCTTGAATTCGTTCCTGCCCTAATTCTTTCGATCGTACATTGGAGCCAAGTGAAAATAAAATAGCACCAGATTTTTCATTGTCGAGAATTTTTTTCAAATCCTGAAATAACTGGATAAAATTGCAATTAACAAAATATTTTACATACATCAGGTAATCGCTTCGGTTGAATGTGCAAACCACCAATTGGGATCATATTCGGAGGCAAAGCTTCGACATAATTGAAAATGGGGTTGTAATTAATCAACATTAAGCTCATATTTTTCTCAATTTCTAAAATACTCGATTTCATTGGACCGAAATAGTTTTCGGCTAGTTCTTGCTGACGGGGAATATAATGTGTGAGCCTTGTTACTTCAAGCAATATCATAAAGACAACGCTTTTTAATTTTTGCCAAAAACTTATTTTCGCACCAAAAGAGTGTGTTATAAATGGTATATAACTTTGCCAAATATTTCTAAACAGGTTTGGCTGATTTATAAATGGATTCACTCCTATTATAGGAGGGTTTCCGAATTTTTCTATGAGAGGGTACAAGCAATGTCCATAACTTACATCCACAATAATTAAATCAAATTTAAAATCGTTTGGATATTTTGTTATTTGTTTCAAACCTTCTGTTTTTTGATCTAAAAGACACGTTATCTCGGCAAATGTCCACATACTTTTAATTGTTTCCCAATCATCCATATCTTTCATTGTCATTAAATCAAACTGATCTTTGACTTTTTCATACGCTCCTACAAAATTTTGAAAAGCGGACAACAACAAAATAAAATTGACTCACCTTCCATAATGATATGTGTATAGTTGGCGTAATGGTGTTTGTTCTTATCGTGTCCCAATAGTGTAACATTGTGTCCTTTTTTTGCCAATTCGAATAAATAAACATCATTGAAAAGATGATGGCTTGGGGAAAGTAGCGTATTAATGGCTAAGATATTTGCACCAAACACATTTTGTTCGAATAATACGACAATAAATAGTAAAAATAACCTTTGTACATTCAATAACATAGCTTAGTGTTGTCAGAGGTAGTGTTTTACTGATACATACGTGTTGTTTTAAGATTTATAATGTCATAAGATTCATAATAACAATAAACATTAGTACTATAATTACATCGTAATATGCTACGATAACATAAAATTTAAATTTAATATTTGAGCAAAAAGTTCAGGTATACAGGGTGTGTCAGAACTCGCGCCCTAGAGAAAAATTTGAAGTAAGATAAGATACCAAGAACATGGAAAAAATGCAGCTGTACCCTAAATTGTAACTCTGTTTAATGTCATTTGCTTTTATTGTCAAAATTTTTTAACAGAATTTTTTAAACATTTTGTCTTATCTTACTTAAATTTTTTCTCTAGATCGCGGGTTCTGACACAGCCTGTATTTGGTTTTGAACAAGTCAATTTTCTTTAAAAAAAATTTTCAACGTGATTTAAAATTTCATGTTTGTTTTTTGTTGATATAATTTCACGTTTTTGGTGATTTTTTTATCGAAAACTTTATATAAAATTTAATATTTTGGTGTTGTTATTTCGACAATTACTACAATTAAAACATTTATCGAATTGACCATAACTAAAGAAATTATGAGTTTCCAGTTAAAACAAATGTCGATGACGTCATTACTCAAAAAGCAAAAAGTGTGCATCAAGTTGAAAATTGTGTATTAAAAAAAAATTGACCCGTTCGATCATTTTTGCGAAAACAAAATACTTTTGCCGCTCACTGTATAAATACAAAAATAACAAAATTGTTACTATTTATTACTTTCTATATTTTTTGTAAATATAATCAAATACTAACTACGGAGCAGGTACAAATAGTTGTGTATTTTTTTTTAATTAGAGTGACAAACCCAAAAACACAAATTTAAAAACAAAGCAACCATTAAGAGATTAATGTTCACTTTGTTGCATTTCTTCAAGGACTAAATAAGATTTTTTTCCATTTCTGGTTTGTTAAGACTGTTAAGAGTATCATAATGGATTTGAAATTCTTATACACTTAAACTTATTCCTAACTTGCATTGTCACGGAAAAAAAATACAAATAATCTTCAGAGTTAATTAACTCGCTGACAACAAATTCCTGTTTTTTTATTTTATATTTCAAGTAACACTATTTTCCAGTGAAGAATTTTAAACAAAATTACTATTGGTAAATTTGCAAGTTACGAAAAAGTTTATTAAGCTTCTTTTCTGTATGACATGATTTTACACCTCGTTAAATCTTGGCTCTTATTATAACCCCACTCTCTACACTTGGTAATACTTAACATTCATAAAAATAACAATGACGTACATTAACAAAAACTTTGAGTTGAAAATGATCATTGTGTAGCAAAATACAATTTCAAAAATTAAATAAAAAAATTATAATTTTGTTTTTATAAAATTAATAACAAAACTTAATTTATGATAATTAAGTGGAACGTGTATTTGATATTTGTTGTTTAATTATTATTTAATTTTTAGCAAAAACATGTTTTTGTTCGATATAAAACGTCTGGACGGTGTAACATATTAATATGTAAATTAATTTTTCTCCTATTAACAACTGTTTTTTATCTACTTTCGGTATGACCTGTGAGTTCAAAGAGTAGGTAGGTATATTGTCGATTAAACTCGTTACAACCTAATCATTGATTATAGGGTAATTAAAATCTGCGTCACACTTGTCGACAAGTGCAAGATTTGTTTTGCTAAGTTAAAAAACCTGTTCGTTAGTTTAGTATATCCAGCCAATGATCTCTATATAAATAAGGTTCTAAATTCAAATGAAGTTATTAAACACTGAGTAGCAAAGATGATTTTCACTGTGTTACTAGTTCTTACCTATGCTCATGTTGCTTTTCTGGAAGAGTATGTGATTCCTGACAACATCGATATTGATGATATTCTCAAAAATGATCGTTTACTAACAAATTATGTAAACTGTCTTTTGGATAAAGGAAGATGTACACCAGAAGGAAAAAAGCTTAAAAGTAAGTGTTATACTTTTTAATTTAATTATTTTATTTAATTATTTCTAATTTTGTAATAGGTAATCTGTTTCAAAAAGTTTTATAAAATTCTCAGTTATTTGTTTACTAAACATATTCTCAAAAAATTAAAAATAACGAATATGCGCAATTAGATGATTAGATTTTTTTTGAAAAGTAATTGATTTGTTTTAGGTACAATACCAGATGCTCTTAATTCAGATTGTGCAAAATGTAACGAGAAAGTGAAAGAAAGTGTAAAAAAAGTTTTGCACCACCTTATAGATAAAAAGCCTGATATGTGGAATAAGTTAGAAGCTAAATATGATCCTTCTGGAGAATTCAAAAGGAAATATAAAGATGAACTTGCGAAAAATGGAATATATGTCTAATGTAGGTACTCGCACTTTCTGTAGATGTAAATATGTGCAGACTGTCTAATAAAACAAGATTTTCGTAAATACAGAGTAACGTTTATATTGTTCTCCTTAGTACATTAGTAAGTCAATAGAAAAAATGCCCATGTCTTTCATTAAATAACAACTAAATAAATATAGGATATGATAATCGATGACATCAAGAGTATAGTAGACCAAATTAAATTCGTAAATAATTGGCTCATAAAAAATTGTAATTAACATAAAAGTAATATAAAATGAATATTAGTCGTTATACCAGTTTTTAGCCTGTGATGTCTGAGTTGTAACCTTGTAATATAAATATACTAAAATAACGAAATCTACAAAATACCTGTTCTAATTATTTTTTGTTAAATCATTTTTTCATTATTTTGTATTAGAAACTCCTATTTTATTTAATATATTTATTATTAAAACACCTAAGTAGAACTCTTTTTTCTTTTATCAAATTCAAATATCTGAAAAACAATAAGTACAAAATAGTGTAAATGCTTATTGCTTATCGATACAATGTTTGTCATTTTATAATAATTATTCCAAGCAATTTTCATTAATTTTGTCTTACTAGTATTTATTTTTGCAATTAAAACTAACATTTTATAAAAGATAATCAACATTAATGCAGCCACGCCTAAAAGAAACGTAACAACGTCTGAACTGGATGCTTTAAATTAGGAAAAATCTCTAGCTGGAGTTGATAAAAATTTCGCCCTTCCATTGCGTCCTAGTACATACGAGTATTCAGTCCAAAATATACCTCTCTCTAGTGAAGTCTCCACCTTGTCTTTAAAAAGATTGAGCTTCTCTTCATATTTTCTGTTTTTAGTAATTTACTAAAATAAAGAAATTTTGCTTACATTGCGTTGTCCAAAAATTTAATGCCAAAATTAACTATGTGTTTTACGACTGTAGGTACCTAAAGCATATTTAATGATAGTAGCTAAAATAAAGACTATTATAAGCGTTTTTTGGTATCCATTTTTTTTGCCACATATTTTCTTCTACAGCATTTAAACATCAGATTTATCGTACAGCAAATAATAATTAGAACTAAAAGAAGAAAAAGTAGAACTATGAACACTAAATCTAAATTAGCTGATTCTATAAAAGTCATATTTCTCGTTGCTAAATTTAAATGTTCTGCAGTCTTATTAAATTTTAAAATATATCCAAAATATCGCAGTATTTAAAGGCTTGTTCATTTGATGTTTGTATAACAGGGACCATTTTTCGGCATTTTCCATGTAGCTAAAAATTATAATTCAATATTTTTTATGACAAAGATTAACGAACTTACTTATTGCTTAATACTTTTTGTATAACATTGAACAAATTGTGTTCTGTGATTTCAAAAAAACTTAATTTTTCCCCAACACCTTTTGCAATAAATGTTTCAACATTTTGTAATTGATCCAAAAAGAAAGGAATTCCTATTACTGGTACTCCATTATACATGATTTCATGTGAACTTAACAAACCTCCATGTGATATAAAAAGAATTGTGTTTGGATGACCTAAAATCAGAAAACTGAAAAAAATATAGAAACATTGAAAAAACATACCGAGAATATCATTTTGTGGTACCCATTTTCGTACATGCACATTTTTCGGAAGTCCCTCCAAATTATCATTTTCAAATTTCCATATTACGGTTTGTTTCAGTTTTGAGAAAGTTTTAATAATTGCCTGAATTCGTTCCTGCCCTAATTCTTTGGATCGTACATTGGAATCAAGTGAAAATAAAATAACACCAGATTTTTCATTGTCGAGAATTTTTTCAAATCCTGAAATAACTGCATAAAATTGCAATTTACAAAATATTTTACATATACATCAGGTAATCGCTTTGGTTGAATGTTGAATTACAAAATATTTTACATATACATCAGGTAATCGCTTTGGTTGAATGGGCAAACCCCCAATTGGGATCATATTCGGAGGCAAAGCTTCGACATAATTGAAAATGGAGTTGTAATTAATCAACATTAAGCTCATATTTTTCTCAATTTCTAAAATACTTGATTTCATTGGACCGAAATAGTTTTCGGTTAGTTCTTGCTGACGGAGAATGTAATGTGTGAACCTTGTCACTTCAAGTAATAATATAGAGACCGCGCTTTTTAATTTTTGCCACAAACTTATTTTGCCCCCAAAAGAGTGTGTTATAAATGATATATAACTTTGCCAAATATTTCTAAACAGGTTTGGCTGATTTATAAAAGGATTCACTCCTATTACTGGAGGATTTCCGAATTTTTCTATGAGAGGGTATAAGCAATGCCCATAATTTACATCCACAATAATTAAATCAAATTTGAAATCGTTTGGATAATTTGTTATTTGTTTCAAACCTTCTGTTTTCTGATCTAAAATAACGTTATCTCGGCAGATGTCCACTGTTTCCCAATCAGTCATATCCTTCATTGTTATTAAATCAAACTGATCTTTGACCTCTTGGACTTTTTCATACGCTCCTACAACATTTTGAAAAGAGGACCAACAACAAAATAAAGTAGACTCACCTTCCATAATAATATGTGTATAGTTGGCATGATGATGTTTGTTCTTATCGTGTCCCAATAGTGTAACATTGTGTCCTTTTTTTACCAATTCGAATAAATAAACATCATTGAATAGATGATGGCTTGGGGAAAGAAGCGCATTAATGGCTAAGATATTTGCACCAAACACATTTTGTTCGAATAATACGAAAATAAATAGTAAAAATAATCTTTGTACTTTCAATAACATAGTTTAATGTTGTCAGAGTTAGTATTCTAATTGATAAATAAGTGTTGCTTTAACGTTTTTATAATGTCATAATATTCATAATAACACTAGACACTATACCTACTATACCTACTGCTATAATATAGTAATATACATTTACTATAACTAGTATAATATTGTGATATGCTCTCATAACATAAAAAAAATATCTTATCATTATCTACACTCCATTTCAGTTGATAGTAGTATTTGATTAACAGGGTTTTTGACGGTTTTACCAAAGTTGTGTTGGCTCTCATAGCCATGTTTCTTATTTTTTAAAGGTGGCAGTAGTGTTTTTTCTGTCACATTATTGAAAATAATTGAGTTTTCGAACTCAAATGTGAGGATAATTTTTTGGTTGTACTTCATCTTTGTCAGGTCCTATGAAAGTTACATTATGGCCTTTGTTGGCCAACCCAAAGGCTAAAGCTCGATTCCATAAATTATCACTGGGTAAAGTTATAAGTGAAACAAACAAGATGTTGGCGCTTAGTACTCATTTTACACAAAAAAGCAATTATGTAGACACGCATTTCAGAAACTATCAACAACCGAAAAAAGAATAGAAGTTATGGGACCGTAAACAAATTTATAACAATCATTTCAAGTGACGAATTATTCAGTGTTACCTCAGTATAAAATGGGATTAATTTATTAATTAATTATTAAAGAACTATTTGTACTTTTAAAAAATCAACGGAAAAAATATGCATTTACCTGGTTTCGAAAAAATCGTAATAATTAACTGAGTCATATTACCATTCAGTATGAAAAAAACAGGAAGTTTTTGACGAGATAATAGTATATTATAATATTAGTATATAACGCTAACGCGTCGTGCTCTAAAACCCGTCGTGCGTGTTTTAAAGGCGCTTATAAACGAGTGTTATACGCTATTTTTTATTATACCTGCCAATTTACGATCTTTTATGAGCATTGAAAAAATGTGAATTTACACAATAAAATTATCAAAGGTTGTTTGTGAATCGTTTTCGTAGAGACGGCTACTAGTTTACGTTGTTAAGCACATTTTTTCACGATGTAATTGGTCCTGACATTTCACTATTTCTTGTTACCTAGACAACTTTAAAATTTCATCGTGCTATAAAGGCCAAATTACGCACGCTGCAGCGTGTTTTAATTTATGATTATGATGCAGGTAAAATAAAAAATGTGATAAAGTTTTATATGGTTGTTCATTTGTTTCAAATAATCATAGACGAAGGGTCTTGAGGTCTCGTTAATTGTAGTAGTAATGCTAACTTGTAGTAATTTATATCTCAAAATATTATTGCTCAATATGACTTAGCATTTTTTTTAGAATTAGAGGAATTACTTGTAACAATTTATATTTTAAAATATTATTGCTCAATATGACTTCGCAATTTTTTTAGAAATGGAATTACTCTGTTGTATTGTTTCCAGCACCCTAGCAGTAGTACCGCTCATTGATTGCAGAAGCATTTGTCCTTGTTATATAACAAACCTAACCTAATAATAATAATTGTAGTTGGAAGCACAAAGGTCAAACATTAAACCTACTTTAAACATTCTATAACTGAGATGACATTAAGTAATTTATCGCTTGATAGGATAGTTATCTGGTTTAGGCTTGATCCTTATTTCAGTTGTTAATAGTAACAGATACGTTTATTACCTATAATGTATAAAGTATTGATTTTTTGTTTCACTGTGAAATGTGTTCTAAGTGCAAATATTTTATTTGTTTCACCTATACCTTCACCTAGCCATCATATATGGAATCGAGCTTTAGCACTTGGACTAGTCAACAAAGGCTACAATGTGACTTTAATTGGACCTGACAAAGATAAAGTACAACCGAAGAATTATTCTCATATTTATATTGAAGGTAAATTTCAAAATAACATTTTATGAATAGTAATAAAAAAACATTTTTTTTTTAAATTTGAGGTCTTTACGAAGAACTATACGAAAGTTTCGATATAAATGAAATGTCAACGTATAACCCAGCGAAGATGATGTCTGAATTCGAGGAATGGTGCATTTTTGCTTGTGAAAAATCTTTACATTCACAAGGATTAAAAAAACTACTAAGTTATCCTCAAGACTTTTTTGAACTTATTATATTCGATGTTACGAGTGGTCCTTGCTTGTATCCGTTAATGCAAAAATTCAACTACCCTCCAAGTATTGCTGTCACAGCGTTTCTTTTACCAACATTCGTATCACATAATTTTGGTAATCAACTATATCCTTCATATATTCCTTGGTATGGGCTTCAATATACAACTCACATGACATTTACGGAAAGAGTTTGGAACTTTTTATTTACTTATGCCGATATAATTAGGAGAAAATTGAGTTTGTATAGAAAAGAACACAATATAGCAAAGGAAATTTTTGGAGAAAACATACCGTCAATGGAAGAATTTGAACGTCGCATATCTTTAGTTTTAGCTAACACTGATCCGATTTTAAATCATCCTCAACCAGTTGCTCCAAACATTATCCCAGTTGGTGGTCTTCATACAAGAAAGTCTAAAGATTTACCTCAAGTTGGTATTAAAATAATGTTTTTTAAGTTTTAAATTTATTTTTTTAGGACATTCAAACAATATTAGATAATGCCAAACATGGGGTTATAGTTTTTTCACTTGGAACAAATGTACGTTCAGATAAATTAAATAAACCTACGCAAAAAGCATTGTTGGATGCGTTTAGTAAAATTCAAGAGACTGTGATCTGGAAATTTGAAAGTGAAATTGAAAATTTACCCAAAAATGTAATTGTTAGGAAATGGTTACCACAGAATGATATTTTAGGTGTGTTCTATACCTAATATTAAAATGCTGTTTAGTTTAACTTTATTATTTTAGGACACCCCAACGTAAAATTATTCATTGGGCATGGAGGTGCTTTAAGCACACAAGAGGCAATTTACCACGGTGTCCCTATGATTTGTATTCCTTTTATTGTTGATCAACATATTAATACGAAGTTAATTGTTAATAAAAAGTTGGGAATTTATCTTGATTTTAAGAAAATAACCAGTGGTTATGTTCTTCAATTAATTAGGGAAATTTTAGATAAGCCTATGTGAATAAATTTATTTCTATTTCTGAATATAAAGTAAACTATTTTTTGTAGATATATCGAAAATATGAAGAAGGCTTCAAACACTTTTCAAGACAGGTTAGAGACTCCATTAGAAAGAGGCATATTTTGGGTTGAATATGTTTTAAGGCATGGAGGTGCCGATTTCTTAGCAACTCCAGCTAGAGATTTTTCGTATTTTAAAGCATCCAGTCTTGATGTTATTACGTTTCTTTTTACTACTGCTTTTGTCGTTGTAATTATCTTTTATAAAATGTTGGCTTTAATAATTAAAATATGTAGTAGTAAGAAAAAAGTTAAAGTAAATTAGGCAAAATAAATAATAACAAGAATTGTATATATTTGTATTATGTACAAAAAAAATGTAATGACAAGAAATAAAAATTTGACAATATCACAATATGCATTTCTTAGTTTTTTTACTTAAGACTTCCTATTATTGGAGATATTGAAGTGTTTATGATTGCGAGAATTTTTTTTTTATTATTGTTATGTTTCATCAATCATCACATCATCATTCATTTGCCCCGAACAGCTGATTTCTTCGATATACATATATTTTAATAAGTGCTTTTATATTATGTTTATTATTACAGGAAGTAGGTTTATTTTATCACTTTTTATCGATTATCTTATCACGTTATATAACAAAAATTAAGTAGAAAATATTGTAAGTTTTTATTGCTCATTATTACAGGTTTGAATTTTATCTTATTTATTTAAACTTACTCTACTTTGGCTTTTTTCTTTTTCGCACAAGTTTTCACAATAAAAGTCACAATTCTATAGAAAATAATTGTTGTGACAAAAGTTATGACAAAGAGAAATGTGATAACATCCAAACTAGATGCTTTAAAATATGAAAAATCTCTAGCAGGAGTTGACAAAAATTCTGCACCTCCATGTCGGAGTACATATTCGACCCAAAAGATGCCCCTTTCTAGTGGAGTCTCTAGCCTGTCTTTAAATGTATTCGAAGACTTTTTCATATTTTCTGAATACCTAAAAAGTATTTCGTGGTGTACCTAAATAGTGAAATAAATTTGTTTACATTGGATTATCTAAAACTTCTCTAATTTTTTGAAGCACATAACCGGCAGTTATTTGCTTGAAATCAAGATCAACACCTAACTTTTTTTTAACAATTAATTTTGAATTGATACGTTGATCCACGACGAAAGGAATACAAATCATAGGGACACCGTGGTAAATTGCTTCTTGTGTGCTTAGAGCACCACCATGTCCAATAAATAATTTTACGTTGGGGTGTCCTAAAATTATTAAAATTAAACTCTTTTATTTTTACACTATAGTTAAACTACCTATAACGTCATTCTGAGGCAACCACTTTCTCACAATTACATTTTTTGGTAAATTGTCAATTTCACTTTCGAATTTCCAGATAACAGTTTGCTGGATTTTACTAAAAGCTTCCAACAATGCCTTCTGTGTCCGTTTATCTAATTTATCAGAACGTACATTGGTACCCAACGAAAAAACTACAACTCCATGTTTGGCATTATCCAATATCGTTTGTATATCCTAAGACACACAGTTTTGATAGTTTGTAGAAAGTCAACTTTTCGAAAATACCAACTTGAGGTAGATTTTCAGATCTTCGTGTGTGAAGTCCACCAACCGGTATAAAATTTGGTGCAATTGGTTGAGGGTAATTCAAAATTGGGTCAGTATTAGTCAAAACTAAAGAAATATGGCGTTCTAATTCATCCATTGGTGGGATATTTTCTCCAAAAACCGCTTTGGCTAAATTATGTTCTTTTTTGTATAAACTTACATGTCTTTTAATCACGTCGGCGTAAGTGAACAAAAAGTTCCAAACTCTTTCCGTGAAACTCATATCGGTTGTGTAAGGAAGCCCATACCAGGGAATATATGATGGCTGTAATTGGTTACCAAAAGTATGTGCAACGTATGTAGGTAACGGAAACGCTGTGGCAGCAATACTTGGAGGGTAGTTAAACTTGTGGATTAAAGGATATAAACAAGAGCCCATTGTTACATCAAATATAATAAGATCGAAAGAATCGGGAGGATAGCTTAGCAATATTTTTAATCCTTTTGATTTTAAGACTATGTCGCAGGAATAAGTGCACCAGTCTTCGAACTGAATCAACATTCTTGTTGGACTATACGCTGCCATTTCATTCACATCGAAACTATCGTCCAGCTCCTTGTAAAGACCTCAAATTAAATAAATATAGATAATTCTGTAATTATTTAATTATTACATACCTTCAATATAAATATGAGAATAATTCTTTGGTTGTACTTTATCTTTGTCAGGTCCAAATAATGTTACATGGTGGCCCTTGTTGACTAGTCCGAATGCTAAAGCTCGATTCCATATATGATGACTATGTGAAGATATAGGTGAAACGTATAAAATGTTGGCGCTTAGCCCATATTTTACACTTATTAAACAGAAAAGCAACGTTTTATACATACTGAAATAAATCGTAACTTCTCAATACGAATGGTGAATTATCAGTATATAAACGTATTTAAAAACACTCGTATCAGTATTCAGTGATGAATAGTGTTATCACAGTCATCATGTTGTGCTCTCGTTATGTTACCACGTCGGCTTATTAAAATTTTAGAGTGGTTCTCCAAAATTTCAACCAATTACAAAACAGCAATAAAAACTTAGGCCCAATGAAAGCTAAAAAAAGTGTCTTACGCAATAGGAAGCAGTCTGACGTCGTTGTAAGACGACAATTAAAAGCACTCGATTTTCATACGTACATACATGAAGTACAGCTGTTTTAAGAATACTAGATATAAATAGCACAAAAAAGACCCAAAAGAAGTTTATACTAAATTCCAATATTTCTCAATTTCTTTTGAAATTTACCTACTTTTTACTTTAAGTTAATTTATTTGATTTACTTTTACTTTTTTTACTTGTTTTCGAAAAATTCAAAAAATCACACGAGGTTTTGTGTGGCACGCAATGAATGCAGTAAGAATAATAGCGAAAGATTCAACCATGAAAACGATTTTTTAATTGTCTCACTCGTTAGTGGTAGTAGAGCCCATTGTATTGAAGTTCGTTCCCAAAGTGTGGTGCATATTAATGTAAAAATTTAATAAAATGCAATTTTGGTTGCAGATGACACTGTTGATACATCAAGTTAATTAATTAATTACATTTTTAAATGATTTTGGCCGACCATGAGTCTTTCCGTTATTTCAAAACACAATCATATTTTTCCCCACTATATATTTCACTTTGTTATAAAAGACATAAACCAGCACCAAACAGGCAAAGAGTTAAGAAATCTTCCAACATGTTTAAAATATTGTTTGTTGTTTTCGCGTGTATTCAAGCGTACGTGAATGCTGAAGAATATTCCGTTCCTCAAAACATAGATATTGATGAAATATTAAAAAATGATCGATTGACGAAGAATTACCTGGACTGTATTTTGGAAAAGGGTAAATGTACGCCAGAAGGAGAAGAACTTAAAAGTGAGTGAATAATTTTTCTAATACTTTATTTATTATTAACGTATTTTGCTTGTAGAAGACATTCCGGATGCTTTAAAGAACGAGTGTGCTAAGTGTAATGAAAAACATAAGGATGGTATAAGAAAAGTGATTCGTCATTTGATAAAAAATAAACCAAGTTGGTGGCAAGAACTGCAAGAAAAGTATGACCCAAAAGGAGATTATAAAAGCAGATATAATCACTTCTTGGAAGAAGAAGGACTGAATTAGACTATTCTGAAGTATTATTTTTGTCCATACTGTAATTACATATTTGTGAATTTGTGTACAGGCTCAATAAAACATAAACTAAAACATTTGGAATTTATTTATTGACTCGCATATGACAATTAATAAATATTATAAGTAATTAGTTAATTGTTGATGATTTATTAAATGGTTACATTGTAAACATTATTGAAACATTGAAAGTGGAAATTACGACTAAGGTTATTTTAAATATAGGCAAAATTACAAAATATTTGTACCTAAGGGCAACAACTAAAGAACAAACCACGTTTGTATAGTAAATAGTTTTTTTCTAATTATGCATTGTTCAACATCAAAATCTTTCTTCAGATGAGATATGTTTTATGTAAAGCTGAATATAAATTTGAAATCAGTTATAATTTTTTTAGTTCTGAACTAGTTTTTCTTAGTTGTTTTCAAGGATTTTTATTGGCACTTCCCATTCAAGAAAGAAAGAAGAAAAAGTGGTCGGATCTATTGTATTTTTCATGTAAAATCCTAATGAAACTTATTTAAAAAAGGAAAAAAACGATTTTTTTTGTCTTACCGAACATATAATGACAAATAATGCAGTTAACTTTCCATATTTAATTATTTATGAATTGCGTGTTTGTCATTTTACTCTATTTATCATCTTATTCCAAATTTTCCTATTGTTAGCCCTCAAAAATGCTTAAAACAGGTTAATATCTAAAAAACCACGTACCGTAGAGCACTTGGCCACATCGTGTTCGGGTGTAATTTTACATCTAAAAAACTATAAGTAGATATTTGAAATGTTTTTTTGAGAAATTTCATAGATTCAAAAAATTCTCACGTATTTTGCGCTTTTCCAAGATTCTACAATCACGAGAAGTGGAACCAGTGGGTTTGATTTTGAAGTTTACTGTTACCGAGTTTTTAAAATCTTTTATTGGTTTCGACTAAAGATAATACGTTTACAGTTTTTCAATTAAAAAAAAATACAACTCCAAAATTATCGGTCTTAGATCAAAGCGGTTTGCGTAATCCGGTTACCTGCACTTTTTCATAAAATATGTCCTTGATTTCTCTGCGAAGTAGATGATTTCCGGGTTACATAAAACAAATTTGATTTAAAAACTCTGCTTCTTAAAACAGTTACAGTAAAAATATTTTTGTCTAAATAGCACAAAATTAACTAGAAAGATTAAGCTAAAGAATATGATTCTTTGTAAGATTCAACCTTGACTACTTATATAAGAATTTAAACGCGTTCTGTAAACTTATGAATTAATGAATTACTTAAAATGAATGAAACAAAATATCATAATTACTTATTATTGTAATTAAATTTTGACACCGCGAATAATTTATTCGTGACCATGGATCCATCCTTTGTTGTATTTTTTAATTAAAACAATAGACTTCTTTCCTACCTAAAAAAAATCATATAAATAGGGTTGTAATCTCTGAAATGAACAGAAAAAAAACTGCTTACAACCCATCACCATGATTGCAATTGCAGTTTTGTTTGCTCTAGCTTTCATCAACACTTATGTTTCCTCCCAAGAATATTTAGTTCCTCAAAACATCGACGTTGACGAAATACTAAAGAATGACCGTTTAACAAGAAACTATTTGGACTGTGTTTTGGGGAAAGGAAAGTGTACACCAGAAGGAGAAGAATTAAAAAGTAAGATTTTCTTTTAATTTTACAAATTTTATTAAATTTTTTTAATTGTTATTGTAGAAGATATTCCGGAAGCATTACAAAATGGATGTGCAAAATGTAACGAAAAACATAAAGAAGGTGCGAGAAAAGTTATTCATCATTTAATTGAAAATAAACCCAACTGGTGGCAAGAATTGGAAAGCAAATTTGATCCCCAAGGAGAGTATAAGAAGAAATATGATGATCTGTTGAAGAAGGAAGGGCTAACTAATTGAAAAACACAATTAACAAAATGTATTTGTTGAATAAATAAAAATATATTTTACTAAACTAAATCATAGTTTATTTGTGTTTAAGAGTTAATTGGGACAGCAAATCTGCTTAATTTGATTTTAACATAATTTTACAATTTTAGGCTTTTTTGAAACCAATTTTAAAATCATTAACTAGTCGATATATTGGTTAAACACAGTAAATTGGATTTTATAAATATGCATAACATAGCGATATATTTTGCCTTGTGGTGTTTTTAAGAAATGTAAATCATCTTCCCACCAAAAATTTATTTTTATAAATAGAGAACAGAGTTTTAGAAGAAATAGAAGACGTTAGTGATCTTAACCGATATGAAACTCAAAATTTATTTTCTTATTTTTGGTGTTCTTTTTTCTTATGTATCTTCAGTGGAATATCTTATTTTACGTGAAATTGACACAATTCTAAAAAATGATCAAATGACAAGAAACTATTTAGATTGTGTTTTGGACAAAGGAAAATGTACGAAGGAAGGAGAAAAACTGAAAAGTAAGTTTTCACATAATTTTTATTATAATCAAAAAAACTTTTAATGTATTTATTGTAGAAGGTATAACTGAAACAATGAAAAATGGATGTATTAAGTGTGAAGTAAAACAAAAAGAGGATGTGCACAAACTTTTCTATCACCTTATGATCCATAGGCCAAACTGGTGGCACGAATTGGAAAGTAAATTTAATCCACATGAAGAATTTAAATTACAGCATTTACAACAGTTACACCATTATGACTTCTTGGAAAGAGAAGGATTTATTCGTTAAAAATATCTTAATAATAGGAAATATTAGAATTCGTTGTAAAGTGTTGGTTTATTGTTTCAAATATTAAATATAAAAACTAAGTTACCGAATAAAGCTTGTCTCAACTATTTTGTTTTTTTTTTATATAATTTAAGAGTGTTTCTTACTGTCTTCTTTTGAGGAATATTTGTTATTAATAAAACATAACAAAATAATTATTTATTCACACAAAATAGTTTTAGACTTTTTGGATAAATATACCACGTGATATTTAGGTTTGTGCTAAAATTTTAAGAAGTGATAGTACAGGTCTAAAGAAGTAGCTCAACTTGTCTTATCAAAATGTTTATAATTTCTGAGATACAGAGATACAACCTACGTTTTAGCGTCAAAAGCTTCAACTGCTAATAGTCAGTGACATTTGAGATAATGAAATTCGGTGATATCTTCTACAAAAAAAAATATACAAAATTTTCACCTTTTATTAACTAACTCAAATACATTCCTGAAGTCAATAATAATTTGGTTCCTGACCATGCATTCTACAACTTACGCGTTGATTGGACTTATTGTCAATTTTTCTTTCTATTAAACTAAACTTGTTTTTTCACTAGTTTGGTTTATTTTCTATTAAATAGGGAATGACTTTCCTCAATTTTTTTTTTGTTTTTTATCACATTTGGCACAGCTATTCTGCAGTGCTTCTGGAATGTACTCAAAAATAAAAATTATTATTTACTACTACAGAATAGTGTCCCTTATTCTAGTGTACATTTTCTTTTCTCTAAAATGCAGTCTAAATAGTTCTTTGTAAAATGATAATTTTTTATTATTTTATGGATGTCTATATTTTGAAAAATTATATACTCTTGTGCCGAAAGAACAATTTGAGAACTCGCAAAAACAAAAAGACATAATTTGATCATGTTCTGAGTAGTATTTGAAAAGCAAGTGTCAATTGTACCAGAGTAAACACACCAAAAATATTTGAAGGAGATTAATAATTCAATTCAATAATAAATAGTAATTAGTATCATTATTAAAAAAAATAAAATATTATATTATAACAAGATAAATTAATAAATGATGTAAGCAATAATCATATGTGAATCTTATAAATTTTAATTCCAACAAATTCACACAATACTTTGCAAAACAAGTATTTCTATGAATTGCTAATAATGATAATGAATGCACTTTATTGTGAAATTTAAAGTGAATGTCTAAAATTACATCCCCTTCATAATAAGTTTTTTTTAAATTCTGTTTCCAAATTTTAAAATTAATTTACAATTGACCTTATTCTCTTCAGTTTGCATATTTCAATGCCATGAAACAATGTCCTCTCTAAATTTTTTTTATATAAATAAGAATGAAGTTTTGGGACTAACAGAGTCACAGCGTTAAGTCTTCAATCAACATGTTTGCAACAACTGCTTTGTTGACTTTTATTTGCATTCAAAGTTTTGTGTTCGCTGAAGAATATTTGGTACCACAAAACATTGATTTGGATGAAATACTCAAAAACGATCGTTTGACAAGAAATTACATCGACTGTGTTTTAGGAAAAGGAAAATGTACACCCGAAGGAGAAGAACTTAAAAGTATGTTAGAGTCTTTTATTATTTATTTTTCATTTATTTTATTTTTGTAGGAGATATTCCAGAAGCTTTAAAAAATGAATGTGCCAAATGTAACGAAAAACACAAAGAAGGAGTAAGAAAGGTGCTTCATCACTTAATCAAAAATAAACCAAACTGGTGGCAAGAACTTGAAGCTAAATTTGACCCCAAAGGCGAATATAAACAGAAATATAACAATCTTCTTGAAAAAGAAGGTTTGCAAGCTTGAGAACAAAAATTAATTTGTAAATAAAAAGAAGATACAATTAATGTTTTATTTATGATTATACAAAACTACCTACTGTTATAACATCATGATAATGGTCACATCAATATTAATTATTGCGATTGTTAGAATTAATTTAACGTGAAGAAGAAAAAATTTAATGTGTTTTCTTGTCACGACAGTTTTAATAAAGTACCAGTAAAAATTTTTCCAATTGAAATCCACAAGTATAAATACCATATTAAATCTACAAATAATTTATTGTGATCGGTGATTTCACAAGATGATTCTAACTATAGTACTAGTTGTGTGTGCTTGTGCAAATGTGCTGTCCGAAGAATACACAAATCAGTATAACAATGAAGTAGATGCAGCACTAAAAAGTGAAAGACTTATGAAAAGTTACGTCGAATGCCTTTTGGGAACAGGGAAATGTACTCCTTCGGGAGAAGAACTAAAAAGTGAGTTTATAAGTGTTTAATTAAGTAATTACAATTGTAACAGGAACTGCCTGTTCAGGACAAAATAAAATTTAGGTGTAAAATTTTAAGGTATTGTGTTAAAAAAGGAAAAATTTTAAGATGTTTTCTTTTGTTTTTTAAGTACATACTCGTAATGTACCTGTTTAGCACAATTTGATTCTTGAAATTTTTTTACATACATACATATATTCTAATAATTTTTTTAATGGGTTTTACACCTAGAAATTTATTTTGTATTGTAATTATACAACTTTTATTGCTTTTTTAGAAGACATTCCCGATGCGTTGGAAAATGAATGTGCCAAATGTAATGATAAACATAAAGAAGGTGTACGAAAAGTCATTCATTACTTAATAAAAGAAAAACCAGAGTGGTATGAACAGTTACAGAAAAAATTTGATCCACAAGGAATTTATAAGAAAAGATATCAACATTACTTGGAAAAAGAAGGGTTAAAAGCTTAATTGCAACAAAAAATAATAGCAGTTGTTAAAATGTTTTTACTAATAATACTAAAAAATGTATGTGCTTTTAATAAATTTGAATATTATTATTTGAATAGTATGCAACTCTTGTTATAACTAAAAATATTTTAATAGTGGCAACCAGTAAAACAGTGGGAAAAAATGTGTTGAGGAGCTTACGTTATTTTAACAAATTTATTTAAATAAGAATTAAAACTGAAAACGTTCTAATGAATTATTAATGAAATAATTAATGATTATTAACATTATTGCCTTCCGCTCCAATGACGTATTGGCCAGAGTCCGGTAGTAAGGTAAGGCTTCATTGGTATTTACGAAATGAATTAAGAAAATTCTTATGACTATTAATTTGATTGTGAAAATTGTCTCACTGGGACTCTCCAAAACTCCAAACTACCTGACCTCTTATTTACTATTAATATTTGATATTCCTCTTCCTTTTTCCTGGTTTACTATTATTATGTCGTACTTCCCCAATTTATTAGATTCAGAAAGCAGATTATTTGAATGAATTTCTTTTAAAACAAAAAAATCGTTACTTAAGAGTTTAAATCATTAGCAGTAAAATTGTGATTTGGCTAATAGCCTTTCCTGATGAATTCTTGATTATGGTTTCTGCAAATTTGAAGCATTTGGAAATTTTGTTGTTTCTTAAACGTATTTTCAATGTGAAATAAGGTAATTAGGCATTTTCCAAAGATTCCATATTTTGCAATCTGGGTTAAATCATAAATATCTCTTTGTAGTTTCGCTGAATGACAAAAAATATTAACTAAATATTAGTTTGAGACGACAGTTTTTAGAGAGAAATTGTTATTTTTCAACATCTTGCTTGCACAACTGTGTTAAGAAAATATGTATTTAGTTATTACTAAATTATATATCTACAGGATGTCCCAACGAGTTGGTAAAGTCCATTATTAACTTTTTTAAATGCTAAAATTAGTAGAAAAGTAGTAGATACTAATCAATGTGTCCCAAAAAAATCACAGTACAAATCTGTCTTTTTTTTAATAAAACACCATATCATTATGTTTCTTGTCATTTTTGGACGTAGTTTTAAATATCTATTTATTGGTCGATTTTGTTTACTTTTTAAAATAAATAAGTTGTTTTTCTTTGACAAAATTATACTCTACAATTATTTCGCAAAAACTAGTGTATTGCATTTGATAAAAAATAAAAAAGTTTGCTAAAAGTTCAATAACTTGAAAAATATGAATGGAACACTGTATTTTTTGTTTTTGCATCTACTACATTATTAAATTTTCTATCTAAAAACATTATATTTTCAAATGTTTAAAACTGATAAATAAAAAGATATTTAACTTTATTACCACATTTTTAAATATACGAGTATTTTCATAATATTTTATTTTTACTCTATACAAATAAACTTCTTTGTTATTATATTGATATCAATTCTTTTAAAATAATAACAAATAAAGAAATAAACAATAAGAAGTGCCAAATGTAAATATTACACTGTAAATATTTTCTTTTGTAATTATGTATGTTAGTTATTGAAAAACTTGCAAAAACACAACTGTTTGATTAAAACTCGTTTTTATTGGATAATTTATCTATTTACATGACATCAATATAGTCCCTGCTATTAGAAACCTCAACCTTTCTGCTATGCAAATGAAGCTAAGGACATTTCCCCCCTAATTACCAAATAATTGCTGTCTAGCTATATAAAGAGAATATTTACGAATCGACATTATTGTAATTTTGCACCCTTCAAGATGAAGACATTTGTGTTCGTTCTTTTCGTCGCAATTTTGTCTGTGGTTTTTGCTGCAGACAAATACACCACGAAATACGACAACATTGATTTGAACCAAATTTTAAAAAGTGATAGATTATTGAAGAATTATGTGAACTGCCTTCTGGATCGGGGCAAGTGTAGTCCGGACGGCCAAGAATTAAAAAGTGAGTTGAATTGTTTTTTTTTTTTGTGTGATTTGGTTCGTTAACCTTGCATATATTTACTACTTTGATTAACGAGATTCGTTTGGGTATTACCGAATGAGTCTCTGAACCAGTTTCTAGATTAAATATTCGAAAAGATTCAAAGACTGGTATCGGGTACTAAAAAAGGAAATCGATTTCTGTTTTTTTACTACACGAGACTAAACCACTGTGTTTTTTAAACTAAACTTTAACTTTTTGCAGGTAATCTCGCTGATGCTCTGCAAACTTCCTGTGAGAAATGCAGTGAAAAACAGAGGAACGGAAGCAGGACCATCATCCGGTACTTAATCAAAAATAAACGTGATTGGTGGAACGAGTTGGAAGCCAAATATGACCCCACAGGAATTTATAAAAGCAAATACGCCGATGAACTTAAAGCCGAAGGAATAGTTTTGTAAAGTACTTATTATATTAGTAGATATATTGTTTCAAAAAAAGACGTTTAATGTGATAAATTTTTGTACATCTGTTTACAAATAAACAGTACTATGGAAAACTTTTGCTATTATTGTTGAAGGTTGTAACATTAACATAATAATTTGTTTTTAATTCTTGTATAAGATTTTTTATCAGAGGAAGCCTAACATCTTTTTTTAATAATCACCACTGGACAGTCATTTTCTGCTTTATTTGTTTCTTCATAATCTAGAAGCAGTTTTGTGTGTTTCCTATTATACATGCTGGAAAGCCCTGTACAAATCCATCAGGGACTTGATTGCCTTGTTTGTGTTCATTTAATTTTGTTTGTTAACCGACATTAAATGTTTCGCCGAGATTGAATTAAATCAAGGTGTGGTTTGATATGCATACAATATTTTTCAAATGGAAATTTCCGTGTCTAAGACGTATCACCCATAAAATTATTCCTGACACTTAATTTTCTTTTAATCTTTATTTATTATTAACTAATTTAATTAACTAAAGTTTTTTTTTTCAATACGAAATAATATTCAAATGTAGAGGTGTGGGAAAAGAAGATAATATCTAGCGCAAAGTATTTTTTTACTATTTTCTGAATCTTCATAAAACTAAAATAAACATAGGCGATCATTGATTAATTCCTGATAATAATGGAATTGGGAATAATTACATTTTTTTTAATCAGGTAAATTCAGTGTAATTAAGTATGTACCTACGCAATAGCAAAAAATCGTTCGACTTATAGTAAATTTGCATTTACTTTACTGCTCATGTGTATACACATATCTATTTTTTTACATATTTAACCTTCTCTGAACGAGGTTCAAATTTTAATATGCACATGAAATTAAATAAAATAAAATAATAAAATTTACCTTTCTAGGCTCACTTCGAATTTTTCCGAATCGGTGAGTTTGATTCGTTCCAGAAAATTATTCAAGGCAAAACTACATTCTACTGTTTTGATTTAAAATTTTTCCATGTACAACCGGCATCTTTTATTTTAAAAAATTATGTGTGCCCATATAAGAAAATTTATTATTCATGTAAAGAAAAGAAAAAAATAAGTCAGCATAATTCCTTTCTGAGATTCGCGAAATGCGCCTATTCCCGAATTATGTGTAATAAGTAAATAAATAATAAATAATAAATGCGTTATGTTTTTGTTTAAAACGTAGGGCAATTGTTCTACTGAAAATTTGAACAATATAAGCAATTGATCTGAGATTATAACTAACTGTATAATTTTTTTGGATAAAGCCATTCTAATTCTGAATGTCTCAAAATAATTACATAAAGGAAATTAAGCAAAACAAAATAAATATAAATGGAAAATGTTCGGTGTCTTATTTAGAGCTCTTAGGTAAGTAAAAAATAATAATTTCTTTAGCGAAAACAACAAAAGTGATTATTGTTATTACTAAGACTGAATGACGCAAAATAACATGACTAAAGTCTACAAAAAGTGTCACTTATTGTTAAACCACACGAGTAATTCCCAATTATACAACATTTACTTAATTATTTGCAAATTTACAGAAATTACTTTTTTTAAATATTATATTATCTACTCTTAATCATAAGAATTAAAAATAATCCTCAATAAAATTCAATATTCATATTAATAACACTGACTATTTCTTATTAGGTCATTCGAGAAACTACCTGTTAGTAAACATTACAAAAGATGAATATAAACTGCGCAATTTTGTCTCATCAGGGACTTTTAAGGTAAAAAATTTCCATATTTAGGTGAGCATTCGAGACAAAAAACAAAGAATTTCTTGCAATGCAGTGAACAAATTATTATGTCGCATTTATTTTTCTAAGAACAATTATAAAAACCAACAAGTCTGAATAACATATTCTGTTATGATTATTAACGAGGTTAGAGAAAAAGTATTTTAATTACAAGGTGTAATTTCAATAAAGCTATTGTGACTTTCAAGGTATATGAATCAGTTCTTGTTACATGCCTTAAGATCATCCCCTCCTAAGGTGTTAGATATTAATTATGATTCTGATTTTAATATAAATTGATCAATTAAACCTGTGGAAGCTAAGTACGCAAAGTAATTGTGAAGTGAATCATTATGAAAACAATAGTGCCTTTGCTGTTTTTTGTAATAGCGATTGCAAGCTCTCTTGCTAATAAGTACACCACGAAATATGACAACGTCGATTTGGATGAAATTATCAAAAGTGATCGGCTTTTGAAAAACTACGTTAACTGTCTTTTGGAGAAAGGCAAATGTACCCCTGATGGCGCAGAACTAAAAAGTAAGCAACTTCTTAATAGTTACAAAATGCTTGATTTTTTTCTTAGGAAATTTGCCCGACGCCTTGCACACCGAATGTTCAAAATGTAGCGAAACCCAGAAGAACGGCAGTAAGAAAATTATGCGACATTTGATTGACCATAAACGCGACTGGTGGAACGAACTGGAAGAAAAATACGACAAGGAAGGCGAATACAGAAAGAAATACGAAGCCGAGATCAAAGGCAAAAAGGATTAAAATCTAATTTTGGCCCAGTGTTAATTTCTGATGTCATTTCGTTTGAGTGACACAATAAATACAGCAATAAAAGTAACAAAGTTTTGTTTGTTTGGTCACCTTGCCCTCCGTAAAATTTGCTCAACAAATTATGCAAATTTACACGTTTCATTAATTAAAGCAGCTGCCGGTGTATTTCCAAGTCGCGTCTCTGGGATTCTCGGAGATCCGTGACGTCAGAGTGCGTCTTTTTTGCTATAATATCTTACATATAAATTTGCGCTCAGGAACCGTGCCATTCAGAGCTTCCAAAACATTCGACAAAACAGTGAAATCATGAAATCGTTCGTACTTGTTGCTTTTGCCGCTGTTCTCGGCCTGGCTTTAGCCAGACCTGATGAGAAATACACCACCAAATACGACAACATCGACTTGGAGGAAATTTTGAAAAGTGATAGATTACTCAAAAATTACTTCAACTGCTTGATGGAAAGGGGTACCTGCTCTCCGGATGGTGAAGAACTCAAGAGTAAGTATTGACTTTTTTCGATTTTCTGAAAACGATTGTTGGGTGGTTTCTAATTGTGTTCAAATTTCACAGAGGCATTGCCAGATGCCTTGCACAGTGGCTGTTCAAAATGTAGTGAGAAGCAAAAAGAGGGTAGCAAAAAGATCATCCGTTATTTAATTGACAACAAGCGAGACTGGTGGAACGAATTGGAAGCCAAATATGATAAAGACGGAGCTTACAGACAGAAATACAAGGAAGAAATTGAAAAAGAAGGTATCAAATTGTAAATAAATTTGTTTGTATCCTACGCTGCTTTACAAGTTTTAAACTAAATAATTAGTTTGTGATCCTTTTTGAAATAAACGCTTAAGTGTAATGAACGTCTTTAAACTTATATTATCCCCAAACCTTCTAAGAAAGCAATTGTGTTTCGCTTCGCAACGTAAAAAATAATTGATTTCGAAAAAACCTTCAATAACTTATAATCAGTTGGTAAAATATTTATTTTATAATCTTGAAACAAGTTAGTGGCAAGTAAATAAATATAATGCACATGACAATAAACGTGCGTGTTTTACAAAACAGTGCTTACGGTTAATTGAATATGACGCAAGACAAGATATTCAACTCAAGAAGTAACTAAATACTGTTGTTAACCTTCAATTGCTGTATTTATACTTGACAATTGGCTTAGTAATAAAATTAGCACGACGAAATACATACAAAATCATAAAATTCTAGCTACAAAGCTAAACGAAAAAAATTGCGGGATGAAGTGGAGAGAAATAAATCAAACTAGTTGTCTTCCCAAAACACTAAACAAAAACAAGAGGATTGAGAAAAATAAAAAATAATTTAATTTTTAAACTTATGCAAATTAAACACTGCGAAAAATAGGCATAGATAAGGTATAAATAATAAAGCTTCTTCCTTTTTATAATAAACTGTTTAATAATTAAATTTTGTTATATTCAATTAATGGTAGATATACGAGATTGATTATTATTGATTATTTAGATTGATATATTGATAATGGCCTAAAAACAGCCGACGACGAAATTTTTGAGTCAAGAAAAAACAGTTTTTATAAAGGTAAAGTTTTACTAGAGGAGAAATGGCGCAAGAGAATTATATTGAAAAATTAAATTATCAAAAAAAAATTGTATGTCTTTTGTTTCATTGCTAGGTAGATTACTTTTCTAATGCCCCTCGAATTTTTTATAATTTTTTTTAATAATCAATTTGTGTTAACGGAGTCTTAAATGGCTAAAGAAATCAGGGAGTACCATTATGTAGATACTCATAAATAAAAAATAAATCACCTTTCATTAACAACGTTATGAAAAATAATGTTAATATGCCTTGACACTTTTAAATTTTGGAGTTATGGTTTTTATTAAATAAATAAATAAATAAAATGAATAACTTCATAACATGTTTATTTATTCTTATGCATGAAAAAAGCAAAATCTACTAAGGTTTATCAGATTACTTCCACCTTCCTAAAAGCATTAATCAACAATATTATTTATTTATCATTTATCGCAATTCAGAAGTGATTAGTTTCCAATAATAAATTTGTTAAAATCATCGGCGTGGCTCAAGTCAGGATCGAAACGTTTCTGGACTTGTCTCCATTCGTCAAATCTGTTTTTTATAACAAACGTTGCCAATTTTATTACAAAATTCTTCTGCTTTTCATTACAATCAGCACAGTAATTCCCGAGAACTAGTGGAATGTGTTCTAAAAATCGAAATTTTTTCATGAATGTCACACAATAAGTAAAAATGGGTACCTTCTAAATCTTTTTCAGCAGGAGTGCACGGCCCTTCTCCTCTTAGACAAGCCATGTATTCGGTCACCATTTTTTCATCGGCAAGTAATTTGTCTATGTTGACGGTTTCGTAAGGAACACTGGCACTTAAACTCGTATAGATTAACGACATCAAAATAAAGTTAATCACAAACAGTTTCATTTTGAACGGATAATCTGGCCAAAAATTTCGGAAAAGCTGCACCTTGTGCTAATCGTGGATTGCTTTTATATGAAAGTTGAGGCTTTTTCACTAAATTATCAAGTAAAAAATGTCTTCATAAGATATGCTAACTGCCCCAATTAGAGAAACTGTCTTTAATAATTGCAATTAATCTAAAATAACAGTATTTACTGTAAATAAAAAAATACGCTAATTAAAACTTTTGTTTAATTGAGAACTCTTGACCACAATCATTATAAACGTTTTTATTGGCAATAAAAAATAAATTTAACATTTGCAGGCAAAACAGGCATTGTGTGTGAGGTGAAACCGAGAGCATTACCGGATAGTCATATTTCACTGCTACTAAAAGAAAACACCAAAAACAAACAGAATATGTAGATATGGTTAGTTAAAAATTAGAGATTTGCTGTTTAAAACTTCGATGTTTTTTTAAATGTTAGGAATAATTAAAACAGATTACCCAAAAATTATTGAGAGATTCTAATTTAAATTTAATTTTGAAACACTCTTTTATACATCAAAATAAATCAATTACACATATATTTAATGATGTAACAAAAATCGATAGGTTTAAGTATTTATTACATAATATAAAAAATATTTACACACCGGCGGTTACATAAATCGTTTATATTTATTAAAGACATCCATTAATGTGTTTGCTCATGAGTTGCAAGAATTGTACATCAGTATTATTTAAAAATTCTAATTATACAGTAATAAAGTGTTCATATTTGCTTCAACATGAATAAAACTAATACTATTACTAAAAGAAATCACTAAAGTCAAACAACTTATCCGAATACCGCAAAACGTAATGCTAGTCATCTTTCCTTTTTTTACTCCTGGAATTCTCCTCAGTACCCCTCTTCCTCTTACATCCTGGCTCGCTCGTTCTAGTTTCTCTCCTAACTGGCAAATCTTGCGACTGCGCTTGCAACAGAATCTGTATCTGTTGCATGGATTCTTGTTGCATTTGTCTCGCCATATTATAAACCGTATCGTTAGTTTTATTGTACATGATTGCGTTGTTGAGCATAAGAAGCACGTCTCTTTGAAACTCCTGCGTTGTTCTTATCGCACCATTCTCTATATTCTTTCTAATTGTCAACAAATCCATCGGTCTATACACCACACTGTGGTACCCTGGAGCTTGATCATCCGTAATTGGTTTAGAAAACAGCGATGCGTACTTGTTTGCAGCTAATCTGCTATACACAAGCATTATAGATTTCTTCCAATTCCGATACTCCCGATCATCATCATAAAAGTATATGCTAGAAACCGGTGAACCTGGAACGGAATCAATAGGAGTCGCGGGAGTTGAAAGGCGTCTCCTTGTACGTATTGTAGACACGTCTTCTTCCTCCGTCCATGGACTATTGGATCTTTCATTCTCACTTTTAATTCGCGATTTGCTGTCTTTACGATCCAGTTCACTGAAATCCCGATCAGAAAAACTTTCTTCAACCAATTCACTTTCGTCTCTTTGTGCTTTTTCAATAGCCAAGAGAACATCAAATTCTTTATCGTCTTTCTTTTTCGTCCTGGAATAATCACGCTTTGCTTTACCAGTTTTGTCTACTTTTACTTCCATATTTATATCGTCGTATAATTCCTCGTTAAAGTCGGGAGTCAATGTTGTGGACTCAGTGGATTTGGGCACGTCTAAATTCGTTTCAGGTTCTAATTTCTTTTCTGTCTCTTCACTAGATAATTGTTTATCCTTTTCAGATAATTTCAAAGTGTCTTCTGTTTCTGATTTTATTTCCGAAACCTCTGCCTTTTCTGCTTCTATTTCTTCCTTTGGTTCTACTTTAACTGAATGAACTATATCTTCAATTTGAGTTTTATTGAGATCTTTATCGATATCTTCATCATCCATTACTACAACTTCTACAATTTCGACGGAACCAGCAGTCGCGTTTTTTTCTTTTTTATCGGTATCATCAGTTGGTTCGTTTTTTACTTCTACTATTTCATTAGTCGATTCTTCTTCAGTTGTTGAAGTTAACTGTTTACTTTCTGTATTTGGAACCTCTTCAGTAAGTTGTGACCGATCTTCGTTATTCTGTGGAACAACAGTTTTAGAAGCATCTGTTTTCGTGGCTGTTGTCGGCTTAGTTGGTTCAAAAACTTCCGGATCTTCTTGGAATTCAAACGGATCTATTGTTGGTGCTGTTGTTTCTGGTCGCTTTTCAGTTTCTTTTGTTTCTTCCTTCATGTCAGTTTCACTCTCTTCAAAATCTTCCAATTCCAAATTTAGATTAATATCGCCGTTTCCGTCCAACTGTAGGTGTTGTTCAGGATCGGCTACTATATCCTGCGCATTTTCAATTAAATCAGAAATAATAACATCAACGTCGTTCTTTATTTCTGGAAGTGGGCCATTCTGAATCAGAATACTGCTCGCCAAGTCATCAATTTTCAAAATTTGTAAATTCGCATCATCGAGAATATCGTTAGTATTGACATTCTGTTGTGGGGGGGCTTCTTCTCCGGTTGGTTCTTGACCAATAGCTGTACTAACCAAAAGTTGCAATCCTGGAGAAACTGTTTCGCCAGTTGAAGAATTTAACAGACTGGCAATCATAGGACTAGTGTTTGTAGTTGTGTTGGTGGGCCGTTGGTTGGTTATCGCTGAATGCAGTATTGAGGAAGTTGTGACATTTGGAACTTGAGAAGGTGATTTCAGAAGACTCGTCAAAAGTGGCGATAGGGCAGGTTTAGGGGGGTCTTGTACTATAATTTTTTGTTCATCTGTTGTATTTTCCGTTTCTGAGATGGTATCCATAGCTTCTGAATTTTTACGTTTTTGACCAATCACTGGAGGTGGCTTAACCGGTCTCCACGCTCTTTCAATTTCCTGTTTTCGCAATTCCCTCTCCTTTAACCATTGTTCGTGGGCAATGGTTTCCTGTTCTTTTCTTTGTTCCTCTTCATCTATTTCCTTACACCATATATCTAATTGCTCTTCACTAACGTTACCTTAAATAAAACAATCAATTAATGAAAAGTACTAGGGCATTTTTGTTTTACCTGATTGAAGCAAGGCTTTATCTCTTTGCAACTTCTGGTACTCTGCCTTTTCTTCCGCTAGTAGTCTTTTCAACTCAGCTTTTCTCTCCGCCAAAAGTTTGCGTAAAATGACTTCAGCAGGGGTTTCAATAGTGACTTCACCCCCAGACGTTCTTTTCTTTCTCTTAGGTGTCTCAACATTCGCCAAAAGAGCTCCATACTGGGCTGCACAATTCTTCTGGTGAAACCAATCAGGGGGTCTGTTGGGTTCCCCAAATGGTTTTAGAGCACGACTCACGCTTGTTAAATTTTGATCCATATTACGTGCCACAGCTAGAGCAAGCTGCTCACGGATTGACCACTTGTCAAGTGGCTCACGCTTTATTTGTAGACGTTCTTCAATTGAGCTCATTTTGAGGTTATGTTGTCTCAAATTTCCAAAAACCTAACACAAGAACCTCGCACGTAAATTGTATTACCAATGGTTAAAAGGTAAACATTCTTGGAGTAAAATTTTACACAAAATTATCACAATTTCTTCACGAGCTTGAACGGGTGTTGAACGGTGTTTATATTTGTCAACTGTCAAATTATGAAGAATTATCGAATATTTGTGCGGCCGAAAACTACAAATTATTTGTTTCATTAATTTTAATTTATTAAATAGTATACTTAATTTAGTAAAGTTTTAGTATTTTTGTTAAACCATAAATTTAATTATTTGTTTCTATTAATAAATTTTATGATGTATTCTGTAATTAAGTATTTCGGTAGCTCGTGCGGTAGACATTACTTGAGTGCGTTTTAGTTTTCATTGTCAAGTATTAACCTCACTTTTTTACGAATAAAATGTAATAAAAAATGTTTTTCTCGAGTCTTGTAGAGGATGTATTTGGTGGTAGCTTTATCCACTTTTACCTGCCCTAAAGTGAAGTGAAAATAGAAGTTGTAAGTCTATATACATAACATTCAAATATAGTATGATGTAAGGATACTCTTATTAGAAAATACGTTGGAAAAACAGTATTCAAAATGGCCCCAGAGGGGCGAATTAGTTATTACATCGACAAATATGGGGTTTTTCATAAAAGTGGTGGAAAAAACGACAAACCGGTGAATTCAACAGCGTTTAAGACAAACGTGACAAGGCCTTCGTCGACTTGGTTGCGTTTGATAATAATGTTTTGGAATGCAAGAGTAATGAAAGCGGCTTTTCGTTTTGGTGTCGCCGCAATTATCATGAATCAGTATGAACGTCTGGGATTTGCTGTCCTCTTATTGTGTTTCACGCTTTGATAATTTACCATGTAATGTAGTTGAATAAATTTGTTTGTTTTTGAAATGCTTTTGTGTACCTAGTTGAAAGAAATGCGGGTTAACTGTAAAAATGCAGCTTTATTCAATTATAAACCAAATTATAACAACAGTTAAAACATTAAATAATTTGAGATTACTCTAATAGTTGACCAAGAGGGTAGCGATGCGCAATTTAAAATAGGCACTTTTCTACATTTATTTACATGATTCTGAAAAAAATTCCTAAGGTGAATGACTGTGAAGGAAATTTTTAACAAATTATTGTAATTTATGTGAAAAAGAAATGATTTTGTTAAAATCGCTCTCATCGTCAAAAGCATTTCCCAAAGTTACTTCACCTAATTTGATAACAGCATGAGCACTTTCGGTAAAAATATAACAGACTTCGTTACAGAATTGCAGTTTTAAACCCTAAAGTGTGTGTAACTACGTCCTTTACAACTAAAACATTTCATATACTCTACTTCTCATTATGTAACAAAGCAATATTTATAATTTCAGTCTAGGCTAGGATTCATCATGGCAAGAATTTGTGAAACCTATTTTAACATAAATTATATGATATAATTGATATTCATTATTCTTTTACATTCTACTTATAAATAGGTACTCTATGAATGTTGCATCGTGAACAGATGAAAATAAAAGCAAGTCAATGTACACTTTTCTATTGCTATTTTATGCTATTCAGACAAGATGAGATCATCCTCCCTGCTAATTCCATTCTTTTATCACTAAAAACTCACTTAATTAAAAAATAAATTAATCATATCTAAGCTATTCAATTCACTGATGCAACATAACTAAATTAACACATATGTTTTATTTAATAGTTCAGTCAACTACTTAATAAAAAATCACTGTACAATATTAAAACAAACATCATTATTCAATTTACAAAGAAAACAGTTTCATGTGGCCATAAAATATATAACGCGACAAATCTAGATAGCTAAAATGGTAACAAAACAATCGTGGATGATATTTTTGATTTTTTTTTACATAAAAATTGGGATGGAAAGTTAATTGAATTCTTGTACCATACATTTTTGTTCAAGTTTAACTTTTTGCAAGCACACAATAGCTGACTAAAATTTACACCAAATCGTTTTGACCAAAAATTAATCGTGAGTATTTTTTTCATATTATAAATTAATCAATAGACCTTTGTTTAATGATAAGACATCCATATTGTAGATCACAGCTAACAGTGTAGAGTCTCCTTCATTACATCATTTTTAATTAATATTATACAAAGTCGAATTATCCACACGAACATTTCTAATCGCGCAAATAAATAAATAATTTTACAGACTCATGTTGCACTTTTTTAAAACGCAAACCTAAATCGTTGCAAAAGTATTACATTCTAAACCGCATAAAACTGAAATTTGAGATTTTGTTTTTTCAGTAACACGATATGACTAGTTTTGGTCATTTTGGGGAAGTGAAAGAGGACTTAAAAAATAACATTTTTATCGCCAGTTACAAGTACCAAATTTATAAAAAGTCCTTCCAAATTTCAGCGTTAAACGGCGCGTTTTGTGTATCTAAAATGATTGCACAACATGATCAGTCTTTAAATAATAAAAAAAACTATTGTTAAATTACTAGTTTTATTCAACTAAAAGAAGAAATAGCCTGAAAGATATACGCAAGGTGCTTTTATTTGTCATTAAAAAATAAATAGAGAATTTGAGCACATTAGGTAACTCTTTCAGCGCTTTCCGTTAAAACCGCGCACTGGACTTGAATTGTAAAGGTCAGTAATTTCCTTTTTTAAGTTCATGTGGCATATATTCAATCGATTTTAAAATATAAATGGTCCTGCAAACTCATAGATTAGTAAGAGTTTTCATCTTAGGCCTAACTTGCACTTTGTTCTATCTCGCTATGTATTCTAATATACTAGTCTGCAGGATACTTCATGCATTTTACTTTTAGCAAACAGGTGACTTTCTGTGTGCCGAACGACCGCGGTTCTTGACTTGTCATCTTCGGCAACCGCATTTTATCAGAATCAATGTTATTGTTTCGGCGGGTAGCGCTTCTGCAGCTGGCAAATTCATCGAAAATGAATACTGAACGTATTTTGTTATAAATTGACTCAAGTGATTTTCTACGTCTGCTAGAAACTGCGTGAAGGAAAAAAGCTACTTCTCATGACTTAAACAGCATCCAAAATAGTTTTAGCCATTCTTGTTAATTTATTTTTATGAAAATTGACTGAATTTGGTTAAAATATTTTTAAATTCTGACTTGAGCATGAATTGTATCTATAAAAATCTGATGTGGTTGTGGTAGTCTCCGCGTGTTGAAGTAACGTTTTGTGGTGTCCACTTGGGGGAATTCGCCAGCCGCCGGTGCGTTCTGCCAAAAACCGGGCGGTGTTATTCTAGGATAATTAAATTTATTGAGCACCTAATAATTAAAGCTAACTTAATATAGTACTAATATTGCACAATTCTAGCATAACGTCCGTCGCACGTATTGCTTAATACAAGACACAGCAAAGCGGCACGCACCAGCACCCCAAGTTCGTCGTCAGTTCAGTGACGGTCTGTGCGAATTGCCAGTGCCGCCGTGGCGAGCGTCAGCACCGGCAACTGACACAGCTGTCCTGGTAACCCCGAGCACTAGTGCGTGGAGTGGCGTCATTGGAACGCCGACTCCTTGTGAAATGTGTCGGATTTGTGGAAGGAAGGGCGGCCGTTGTGCTCGCCCCTCGCCAGGGGCATGTCCTGCGACGCGAAGTTGTTCTCGGACTTGGGCCGCGGCAGCGTCAGCCGCTGCAGCGTCCTACCTAGCTCCTGCAGACTGCGCTCGCTGGAGTGCAGCCGCGCCATCGACTCGTCGGACATGTTCACGTGGTCGGCCTCCGCCGCCAGGGCGTTCACCACGGCGTTTATCGTTTTGCTCTCGCTGCCCAAGTCTTCTTCTCTGTGCGCTAGTAAATTGGGGTTCTTGCCAATCTTGTTCAACCTGGGAAACAGCGCCATCAATATGATTTTACGTCCGCAAGCGGTGCTCTTTGCAAATTAAACTTGAAAAGCATCAGATTCAAAACAAAACCACTGCCCGAATTTTCAATAACTTAGAGATAATTGTGTGATTGTGTGTTTTATTGAATTTCATTCGACTCATCCTCGCTTCTTCGACTAGTATTTATCTGTTTGTGTGTGTCGTGTGTGCCTACGTCATACTTTAAAATACACTATTCGCATCTTCCTAACCCGGAGCATTCACCAAATAAAACATTTCATACGAAACAATAACAGCTTTATTTCAAACATTAACTAACACTTTATATAAAAACACAACTGTTTTAACACTATATCCTGAAAATTGATTGTCTTTTGCGGCAAAACACCGATTCGGGAAAACCCTAACGTTTTTTTACAAACTCCAATCTTTGCTCCTGAAAATAATTTTGAGTTCGAAATAAATTTAAATATTTGGTAATATTTCACCAAATATTTAAACAGTGATTAAACGGGTGTTAGAACATAATTATGTAAATAAGAAAAATAATTCCACCACAAAACCACCCAAAAGTGAGTCACAACTGAATTTAATTATCCCAAACACAAATAGGTAAAGGAAAGTAAATGTTTTACTTCAGATTTACCATAATTATTACTCAACGTTGATTAGTTCCTTTACTTATTTGACAAACTTTTTTGAATGTGGTCCCAAGATATAAAAATAATTTAGTTTTCATTAAAATTGTAGTTTTTTTATTTTTCGGGATTGGTATGAATAAGCTACTTCCCTGTCAGTATTGGGGTGCAAAAAGATGGTGCACCAGAGTATAGAGTTGGTGTTATTTTAAAGTATGACCTTGTTTGTGCAAACAAAAATTCTACCACAACATCTCAGACAAGGAAATACGGATATCGTGAAGAGGTTAACGATAACAAGAATGATATCTAAGGTATCGAGACGTCACAAAGAGTGAGAATGTGTTGAGAAAATGAAAGTAGCACACGTTAAAGAAGCGATGACAAAAATAATTCAATAAAACCTCCTCGGTTTTCTTATACCAACCAACGCACTGACCTCTCCGCGGCGACAGATTCCATTGTGCGTCGCATTAGTGGATACTGATCGAGTACAGCATTAAAATGATCAACAGATAGCGAAAATAAGTTGCAATAAGTTTCTGCCCTCACAGAGGCTACACGTCTCGCATTCGTCAACAAGCAAATTTCGCCGAAATATGAGCCATCACTGAGGCTTGTGGCTACTTCGCCGTTAGCCATAACAATATCGACAATACCTTCTTGTATGAAGTACATTTTGGAACCGATCGTTCCCTCTTTTATTATAATATCGCCTGGAAAAAGAGCGGTTATGGTAATTCGAAACGCCGCAATGCCGGCTATTACCTGGTTGGAAGACTTCATATTTCAACTTAGTTACGACATCAGAAACGAAATTCGAGTCGGCATTAGCAAAGAATGGGACTGACGCCACCAACGACCGACAATTGTAGTTTATAACGTCCTCGCGGAGCTTCTCCGATAGTTCGCCCAGGATGCACTCCTCGTCGAAGAACTTGCCCTGATAACGGTGCTCGAAGTATTCGGTGATCCGTTGACGCATTTCCCGAGGCAACTTCCGGTATGCCATGTACTCTTCTACTTGCTTCACCTGTTTGGTGCAGATACGTAATGTGCATAAAAATGTTACGGCTCGGGCTGCAGTTCTAACGTAGTAATTGGTTTTTGTTTAATGGAATTGGAATTATAAGTATTACACACATAAACAATAAACTTACTATTATTATCTGAAGATAATGAATAAAATCTTCGTAAAACAGCCGTATATCATATTTTTATCCTTTGGTGTTACAATAAATACAAATATATGTAGAGGGTGTTAACAAATGTTTGGGAACAAATTAATTTAATTCATATAATTTCTCAAAAACCATAGTTCCTCGCACATTTATAAAACACTCTATATACTTGTATATAAAGTCAACAAATTTGTACAAAATGACATTACTAAAACTGCTAAGAGTGTAGTAAAATTCTGGCTGGTGTAATTTAACAATCAGACAACAAGTTATACGATTTGAAAAGATGTTTAATTGCTATCGTGGACAAGAGTAATGAAAAAAATAATGAAAATCTTTTAAACATTACCAGTGTAGATTTTTACATTCTTTTAGCATTTTTATCTGCTGTAAACAAATGCGACTATATAGAAATGTTGCCACATCACAAATATAATAAAAAAATAGCAAGCAAACGTTATAACTTTTAGCATAGTCTCATGCAACATGCGACAATTCGATTTTTATATTTTCAGGCATACTTATTCGTATTAAGTTCAGTTTTTGATTTCATCAATTCTTGTAGTAATTTTATTTCAATAGTTTAAAAAATCGCCTGTGATATTGGGCGTATATTTTTGAACAATATCTTTCCTGATGCAACAGTTACAAGGTTTATAGCTGAGCAGCTTTATTTAAATATCATTGAACTAAATGTTTTTCATAAATTCCGAAAAAATAAAGCAAAATATTTAATTGATAAAATAAAAAGAATGTTAAATTAAATTGTTATTGTTTAGTCTCATGTTGATACAAGATTCTTTGCAAATTACACGTATCAAATTTTCTGCATGTCAAAGAATTTAGAATAGCACCATTACTCATGCATAATATGCTAATGGTGCAATTATTATTCGTTTCATCTTGCTTTATATAAAACTGACAACAAAGCAAAATCTGTAGTAAAGAGGTTTCTGAACACTGTAGACAGTTAATATGAATTTTCAGTAGTTTTGTGTGAAACTAAAAAAGTTTAGTGTGGATTCTCGATTACGAAAATGTTAGACACTAATTTACTGCAAATTATTTTTTATTATATTTCCGATTTTTCGTATTTTTTAGATATGTTTTTTATTTATTTATGCGTTTAAGAGAGCAAAAAAAATGTGTTAATACATAAACAAATTAGTAAAAAATGCTAATAATAGCTAGTAATTTCCAATTGCGTTTTTTTGTATTTTAGCTTTAACTGTAAATACAAAATTTTTGTCCGAATTGGGACGAGTACACATATTTAGTGAAATATTTGGTAATAAATTTTACACAATAAAATCATGCAAAATTATACAATAATATCGACTAGAACGAATAACACAGTCTAAAAGAAAATCTCTTTAATATGTAAGTCATGCATTATGTATGTGGCGATATTGTATATTCCGCTCGAACAGCTAGGTACGCTTTGTTGCAAAAGAGCAATACTTTTTCGACGAAATTCACACTCTATGAACTAATTACTTCAAGTAGCACTAGTAAAAATAATAACCACTTATTACATACAAAACATGACATTAAGCAATATTGTGTTAATTCCATTCCATAGTTTAGTGGAACACTGAACAAATAAAACAGAAATTCCCATTCCATTAAAAGAATAATCTTACATAAAAAGCCGGTTAACTATATACAACATGCGGCCTAAATACAACACCAACATTTAGGACAAGCACAGCAAAACCGCAGCCAACCGGAGCCATATTACCTTCTCGCGATACTGTCTCCTTGAGGAATCCAAACTTTGGATGAGGTTGGTGGCGTGACCCAGGAAGAGGGCATAACATGTGGCTCCAGATATCATGGATAACATCGTCAACCACATATCTGTCAACGACTGGGGTGGAAACCGGCCGTAACCGATGCAAAGCATATGCGACATGGCTTTAAATAAGGCCCACGAATATTGCTCCAGCCAGAATGCCTCCTGTAATAAATAAAGAAATGAAAAGAAGAAATTTGGGGCAAACGGGGTCAGACCTGTAATTCGTTGATTGCCACCCAAGAATTTGCCGGGAATCCTTGGAGCATGGGTACTAAGAATTGGAGACAGCCGGACCAGTGACCGATCAGCAGCATCATACATATTAGATTGAATATCCTCATGAAAACACTCGCCATATTTAAAAACTGAAACATTATTAGGTGTTTTGTTTAGTGTTTAGTTGAAGGATTTAGTGACGGTTGTCTAAAACAAGATCACTAGTTGTGCTTGTTTTAAACTTGATAACTACTTAAGATTAAATCAACGTTTGTAACTGCTTGCTGTAACACAAATTAAACAAATCGACAACACAAAAAAAACTGTGTGAAAGAAATGTTAAAGAAGCATCGTCTCCTTTGTCAGTCTAGGGAGCTGAACCGAAAAGATAGCCTCAAGCCATTTCAAAGCAGTGCCTTCAATAAAAAAGCACAAGCAACTGTCATGGTATAAAAGCATGTGTTTTTCAATTTGAAGTAACGTGAGCTAAAATTCTATGTACCCAGCACCTCAAACCAAACAAATAATCATTGAATAAACAACGCTATGAATTGTTTTGAATTTGTTGAACATGTTGACGTAAACGGGACAAAAACGTAAAACAGAAGCTCTTCTACGACACTACGGGCACCTCTCGACTTACCTTCAGATAAAAAAACGACATGCACCTCAACAGTGCTTTCAGCTCTAGAATACCAGGTCTACCGGGTGAGACATATCAAACAAAGTGCAACCTGGCCTCTAGAACGCTGAAAACTGACGTGCAAAGCGGAAACTAAGTCTAGGTTTTGAAGCAGGGTCTAGGTTTAAATTTTGTACATGGTATTTGAGCCTAGGCGGAAGCAGAGGCGCCGCGGGTCGGTCATGCGCATTGCCAAGCAAGCCCGAAGCGGGTTACCTTAAAGATGAGATTGCTTTTGGTGTAATTAGACTTGTTGAGGTCCGAACTGAGGCGCCCCCTTCGTTCCGTTCGCTTTTTTTGGAGATTCTGCAAGATCTAGAAAAAGCGAAGAACACAAGGTAGTAGAGAAAAGCGTGGCACACTAGATTCCAGAAGAACGACTTAAATAGAGAGAGCATGAAAGTTAGTAGATTACAGTCGGTGAATAGAACAGAGTGCAGTGCGAAGCTAACATGGACAGAGCTACATGCCACCACGACGATGATGACACATTTAGAAGCTTGGACGAGAACCAAATGGACACTATGAACGTGATCTCTAGTCTAAAAACCTATTCACACTAAGTACGACTTGTGTGTACAAGGAATTTCAAGATTTTTTATCTATTGGAGTAATGAACTAAAAAGCAATTCCCTGTACTCATCATACACCGACCGATCATCAAAATTTCCAAGTTTTAATCTCATTGTGCCACAAAAATAAATATTATTGTGACACATAAATTGCTACACCAACAAAACGTGATTTTTTTTCACCAAATTTCATATACAGGATGAGCTTTTAAACTATTTTATTTGCAACAAAATTTATGGACTTGAATGCCAACCTCTCGGGCAATCTAATGTGATTTTTTTCCACAAAGAAAGATTTAAGAATTAAGTACATCTGTTTAAATATAGTCATTCGATTTTTGCAAATTTTCATAGTAAGTCTATAAAATTCCAGAAAAAAAAATCACTTTATTTTTCACTGTTTCAATTAATTTCTTATGAAATCAAATAGTTTAACCAAAGTACCAAAATAATGAGTAAAAAAGAATATTTTAAAACCTTTTATAAGAAATATGCTTAAATCTAAATAGAACCAAGTGGTCTAGAAATCCATTAAAATTAAAACAAAAATTTCAATGGTCATTTGCTTTTATGAAGAGAAGTTTTATTAAAAAAGCTGCAACAGTTAAAATCACAGTCTTTATAACTAAAGACCAACTTAGTCACTATGTTTCACTACATGGTTATATTTAACAAGGTTTTAAATATTCTCTTTCATTCATCATAAAAATTTGTTTATAAACTGAAGAAAGTGACTCAAACTTAAGAACCCTAATTAAGAATACGAAATTTAATGAAAAAACGTAACGTTTTCATGTTGTAATTTATGTGCCGTATTTATACCTATTTTACTATACCTATTCAAGTTGCAACAGATAAAAAAGTTATATTTTTTCAACGTATTCTATAGTGAAACAAAACTGTTTTATTTTTATAACTAATTAATTCGAGGTTTTAATATAATGTGAATTAAAAAGTAAAAGTGAGTTCCTTTGGGTTTTTTACTTTTTTTCAGAAGAGGATTTGAAAATCTCATCATTTAACCAGTGAATTCATCAATAAGACAAAAAAGAATTTAAAACTATCGCAATAAAATTCACAGGTTTAAACTAAAATTTGATTAAAATTAAGCTTTATAGATGTTCCAATTTTTTCCATTCGCATAAAAATCAGCGGTATTAAATTAAGCTCAAGATTAATTTACGTTTCGGTTTTTAATTGATACTCCTATTATTTATTCAGAATTACGGTGCACTGAAAATAATGCCAATCAATAATAATTTAAAAAGCTACCATGCAAATACGAAAAAAAAATTTCATGCCACATTTTAAGTTTCTTGCTCTTAAATATGAAACTTTTCAGCTATATTTTTAACAGTTCCTTTTAGAGTTCAGCCATTTCACGTAATTTTATGTACATCTTTTAGACGCTGTGCTTAGCATTTGATTTAGTTATTTGAAGAGGTTCTCTAAGCATGAGTTGCTATGGATGTAGTATCGGGTGCTCTGAGCGTGCAGAAGAGGGAACAGTGAGAAAATCACGTGAAACTTACAAATTGTCAAGGAACTGCAGAGAAAAAAACAAAAAAAAGAATAGTAAAATGGATTTGGTAGATAATATATACATTGTATAGTGGTATTTGGAAGGTGACGTGTAAGAGTATACCTACCAAATGATTTAAAACTGAATCTGAAATGTGTGTTCGAATGACTAGCGATTTCTATAAACTCTAACATAGAACATCAAATCACTTACTTAAGCGCAGATGTATCTCAATGATAATTTATCGATATGGCTACCAACCTATAACGTGCTTGCAAATACCGAGCAAAGAACAATGTGGAGGATGTTGTGCATTTGACGTCTAAGGGTTGAGGGTTCGCCTACAAGCGTTTGGGGCGGGAAAGTAAGTCTGAACCGAAGAATTTGGGGCTGGTTCAAATGCACAACAGACGATGTGATCAACAATAACTAGCGTCAACGACAACGCGCTAACACTGACATTCCACATCCGAGCGATCGACGATGATCGACGGCTCGGTGTCAAAAACGGACAGACAGGCAGACAGACAGACAGAAAGAGTTTTGAAGCACCTCGGTTGTCCTGTCTCTAGGTGGAGGGATTGGGGTACCGTCGGGAGCGTACTCTGCCTGTCGCCCAGGCGGGTGCTGGTACATAGGTATCTGCGCAGCCCAAACACTTCTATTTGTATATTTGAAAAAGGCAGCCAGTAAGCAAAGATCGCTTTTGCCACACAACGATCAAATCTACCTTCTAATAACACATGCAGCATTGTTACAGCACTACTTACAATTTGCAATTATCGGAAATTTGCTGCTGTAGCGTATCAAAAGGTAATTTTGATTGAATCATTGTTGGTAGCATATCTTTTGTTACAAGTTGTGTGGCAAGTCAATTTCAGGCCGGTTGTGAAGTAGTTCCATTTAACAAAACAACGAGTTCGAATGGATATGTCATGTTTTGAGTACAGTGTACTGTTTTGTTATTTGAGTGTAACAAGTTTAAAATAATAGCGGAAAGGAAATGAAAATTTTGAGAAAAACTACTTCTATGAAAGGAAACAGCTCAATGAGATAATTTATAAGAATTTATCTAGACAAAATATCGCTGTTTTATTCCGAAAGGAGAGAATAACAAATCGAAAAGTAGGAACTTTTCCAGACGTTACCATATAATCTAAATACTTTTGCAAGTTTCGCCGTTTGGGAATGTGTCCTTTGTTTGTGCCTAACTATCCTTTCGCAATAAAACAAATTGATAAATTTGTTATTCCCTTCGGAACGAGACTTAAGGAGTTTGTCTTTAGAGTGATATTTGAGGCAATATTGTAAGCTGAAAAGTGCAAACTGTAACAATGATAAGGTGCTGTAAAGTAGCAAACGTAGCCTCATTCCAAGCACGCCTGAGCTTATTGCGGAAGCCCAAAGCTCACAATATAATTCCTACCCTCGCCTTCCCTAATCTCCCACTTGTATTTTTTATCACAATCTAAAAACACCTTTCAATTCGTTTTAACTTTACCACAATTGAAAGATACATTTAGACGACTCTCTTATATTTAAGTTTGCTTTTTAAGAAACACAACTAAAAGTTATTTGACATAAACCGAACCCAGCACCGAAACTTGACTTTGGGGCGAAGCATCGAGTGTCGTCGCTGGGCCCTAGGCAATGAAATGGACTGTTCACAATGCGTGAAAGCATGTGCGCTTCAGTGGCTATCACAAAAGCAGCTTTACTTACATAAACTTCTTCCCATTGACTGACATATCTTACAAGACGGGATAATCGCAGCAATCGAACTAGTGACAACAATTTCGCGAGCCGCAGGATTCGTAAGGCGCGGCCCGCGTGGAGAATCTGGAAACTGTCGCCATAATCCTGGAACAGAAGGTTTAAGAGTTCCGGTAATTCGCTAAGTACTACAACACCCAACAGATCTACAAAGATTAGTACAACATGTCAACAGTGCAGGGTCGAATCGGTCAGTAGCCCAACAACCATGCCACTAATTACCTGTTCACGCTAATCCCATTTCAATATTTATTATTTATTTTACGAGTGCACTGGTTATAAAAAATATAGTATTTCTCATAACAATCGATATAATCCACAATATGTTGTTTGCGTCTATAAATACATATTCTGGTTAATTTTGTGTGATAAAACCGATTAGCAAGTTACATAATTTACGATTTTACAAATGAAGAGAGCATCGTACGATATTTATTTTTATAGTCGTATAAACAAATATGTAGGTATTTTGATTTCACTAACAGCAAACATGCTGACGAGAATGCAACGATTATTTAATGTAAATATAAGACAACAAACATTTTTGTATCAAAGAAAAATGAAATAAAACCAAAACCTGAATGCTTATATTTGTTTCATCAACCAAGCTGGGTAATCTCATCAGAACGAATTATCCATTATTCATGTTTCCAAAAAATAAAAAAAATAAATATTTTGCCTCTTTTGGTGTTTTATACTATACCTAATAGAAAACCTTGTGTAAAAATTGTATTTCTTTTTTTTTTTTGTTTTCTGAGCTATTTCTGTACAACTTATTCTCGACATTCCTATTCATTTTGATATGAATAATTAGTCGGAAATTATAAGCATTTTGTGTATCTTTATTCCTCTCAGTCACGCAAAGATTTAAACGGTTAGGTATCACTAAAATTATTCTTGTTTATTCTATCCATTTAAACTATATTTTGTTGCCAAAACAAAAATGTGCAAATGTTGCATTTGCTTTTCTGAAGTTCGGAGTGGTCTTATATTTGCATCTCGAGCCATATACCTACGTCGTCACACATCTTAAATTAAACCCCACTTACTTGATTAAATATAAGAAAAATATAATCTAAGGGGATGGACGAAATGAGGTCGAGGAAAAACCACGTCCTCAGGTAATGCTTCGCTATCAACTTGGGGTCGAGAATGACCTGTTCAGCGTTGTCTTGCTGCATTATCCCTGTAAAAAGATTGTTAAAAATCTTATTTGAATTACCTTAAAATACCCACCTGTTCTAAAATTGACTACAATATCGATTAGAAATATTGTATCGGACAGACAGTTAAAGGCAATCCAGCGGGTGCTCAAGTCATCGTTAAAAAAACTTATAGCCACCGGTAGAATTATGAGATTGGCCACTAACAATAGAAGCATACACAAATCCCAGTAAAATCTGAAAGAAAATTAAGTTTCAGTACTCGGAGTTCGATATGTAGATTCTTGGAAAAAATGAAAATTTAATTATAAAGACAGTGGAAGTTTCACTTAACAAGATTAGTAAGTGCAGGCCCGGAACAATAGCTTTTCAAAAGCATTGCAAACTTTACGAAGTAGATAAAAATTTCCCAGCAGGTTATACAAAGTTGTTTTATTTCGAAGAAAAGTTCTGTAAACACTAGATAAGAAGACGACGTAAAATTAATAGGTCTCAATAATTATATCATTATCAAATAAGTGACCAAAATAGATGTGTAGCAAAATTGATAAACTTGACAATTCCTATCATAAAATGTTGCGTAGCATATGGTACAGATGACTCTATACTTTTGTCATAAACAAGGATGACTTACTAATCAGTACTTGACTACATTTATTAAATAACCAAATTACTAGTAACAGATGTTAATTAGTTTTAGCATAACCTATAGTGATAATGGGCTTGTTAGACACAAAAAACTGCATTGTTTGATAATGCATCAATATTTGTCATAATTTGTTAAAACAGAAATAAACAAATTATTATTAATTAATACGATACATCAACAGTGATTTATGAATTCTTAAAATTATTATAAAGTAATCATGCTATTTGATAATGTGGAATATTTTCATTAAAAGCAACTAAATATTTATCTTTCAGTACCTTCAATATTTTTTGTCTTCGTAAATCTTCCTTTAATTTATTTTTGCTTTTACTGGAATTAATAAATTTTACTTAAAAAATCCCTATTATCTAATTTGTTAAGACAATAAAATCGATTTCAACGGCGTGTTATTCTCTCTGTTAGTTTATCCAATTATCTGAAAAAAAATTTATCTTATCTGAAAACGAAAGATATAAATTCCCCACAGCCCACTGTTGAAGTTAAATCTCGTCCACCAGTTGTTGGAAGAAGTTTGCTTGAATCATGGTTTTCGATATCAAGAATAAAATTGCTTTAATTACCGGGGGTGCAGCTGGAATTGGCTTGGCTTACGCCAAAGAACTTCTCCGAAACGGTGTTAAGGTACCCCAATTTTATAATTTTTCAAGTTTCAAGTCTAAAATTTAATTCTCCATGAAGGCTGTCACAATTGCCGATGTCGACGCATCCAAAGGCGAACAAGCGGCCAAAAACCTTAACGCCGAATTCGGTGGTAATAAAGTGATTTTTGTGCAAACCGACGTAACTAAAGCAGACCAGTTAGAAGGCAAGTTTTTATTAAATTATTTATTGCATTCGAAGTAATTATGAATTGAATTGTTTGCATTCATCTCCGACAGGAGATCTTCCCGAACTTTGGAATTTTCAATAAAACTTTACCATTCAGACAAAATTACTTTTGGAACTTTTATCAATGCCAAGTTTGTGATTTTAGCTGCATTCAAAACCACTATAAGCACTTGGAAAAGCCTTGATATTGTTATAAACAATGCTGGGATTATGAATGATGCCAATTGGGAGCTCCAGATTGCAATCAACTGCGTAAGTAATCGTTTTGTTTTCTTTTTAATCAACACGGTAAATTAATTCATTAATTTGTTGCTAAATTAAATCATAAGAAAGATTTAATTAAAATTTATGTCGTAAGTTAATTATTTTCTGACATGAAGTCGAAAATGATTTTAGTAAATAAGGGTACGGGTTTAATAAACTGATTAATAGTTGCTTTAAATACATAAATAACCGAACCAAAAATATTAAAGAACTAAATTCATGATTCATTTTTAATGACACGTTGGGAAGTCAAATAATATGTTTTGTTAATAAATAGATTGACGGGTCATTTATTGATTAAAATAATTAAAAATGTATTATTGTACTCTATTTTTATGATTACTGATTTTTCTTATGCATTACGAATTGCTATAAATCTTTACAAGATAACAATAATAAATGCGAAAAAAATTTTTACCCGTACAAAACCGGCAGATGATCACGAATGCTACGAGATTGAATTACAGATACAGAATCACGCAATTTCTCCGGAAATAAGCAAAAATAAATCGTTGTTGAAGCACAATTTATTTTGCTTTCAAAGGAAAAATATTACGTTTTAATTAAGATTTATCGTATCTTGCTAGACAATTTCAAGATGACAGAAGCCAGATTAATAGATTTGTAGTTCAAAAGATATCTTTTTTAATTAACTACATTTTAGTGTAAGTACTGTTGATAAATTACAACTATTTATGTAAGAATGGTGTTAAATAATTTGCTTATCAACATGGCAGAACCACGTGGTGCGTGGCAGCCTCCTCGCCATCCAGTACATGGGTAAAAACCATGGCGGCAAAGGAGGCGTCGTCGTCAACATCGCCTCAATTTTGGGCTTGCAAGAGCTCGCCGGATGTCCCATTTACGTGGGCACGAAACACTTCGTCGTTGGTCTCGACCGTTCTTTCGGCACCCCATTTTTCCACAATCTCACTGGTATACAATTCTTGACCATGTGCCCGGGAGTTACAGACACTCCTTTGATTTCCGAAGCTGGCAAAGTTGCACTACAAGGAATGGGAAACATTGCCAAGGAACTTGTTGAAGGACTTGGATCATTGCCAAAACAAGCGTGAGTTTTGTGTCTAATTTTTGTAAAGTTATTGACCACGTCGGTGCTTTAGACCCGAAAATGTGGCCAAAGGAATGATTACTTTAATCACGAAAGGCGAAAATGGAAGTGTGTGGGTGGCTGAGGGTGGGGAACCCATTTATGAAGTGAAAATCCCTCAAAGACAAACTCTGAGAAAATAAAGAAAGTGGAGTCGAGAAGAGAATCTATATAAAAGTGCACACCTACATGTATATCTTGCGTTGTATGCAATTGATCTGTATTTGTATTTGTTGTTCGTAAATTTCATTCATAATAAATATTTACCACTAAAACTATTTTTTTTTTGTTGTCAAATGTCAAAGAAATTTTGTTGTCATTTGCGTTCGTTTTTGGTAAAATGGCTTTATTTAGGAACATTCTTCCAAAAAGAAGCTCAATAAACGTAAAATTTTCTCCAAACATAAGTATTCCGATAACAATATACACTTTGTAGACGTTTATTAACGCAATATGGCATCGTCAAATGTCTGGAGACAACCCTATTCAATGCAAAGTTGCTGTTATAACTGGCGGTGCTATTGGTATTGGTGTTGCTTGTGCTAAATCGCTTTTGGAAAACGGTGCTAGGGTAATACCAAACATTCACTAAACCTCCGACTTATTTCTTTACCAAAGGGTGTAATGTTGGGTGACATTCGAGAAAAAGAAGGTAAAGAACTCGCAGCTGAATTGAATAAGACATACGGTAAAGATAAAGCCCTTTTTATGAAATGCGACGTAACCAAAAAGGATGAATTTGAAAGTAAAATTTCAACTATGATCATTATCAATGCAAGTAAACGAAATTTTAGATCTGTTTAAGTGCACTTATCAAAGGTTTCCAACTATGGACATCGTAATTAACAACGCTGGACTATTACAAGACAAATATTGGCCGCTTGAACTTGCTGTGAACGTGGTAAGATAATTCCAATTAAAAAAACACATTTATGATTCAAGACAGAATGGTTTGGTGCAAGGAACACTATTTGGTTTCCACTACATGGGAAAACACGGTAAACATGAAAAAGGAAGAGGCGGAGTTATTGTTAACATGGCGTCCATCTATGGGCTTCAACAGGCCTTCGCATGCCCTGTTTACAACGGCACTAAAGGATTTGTTATTCGATTCAGCAACGCCATGTCCCATGAATATTACGAGAACCTAACAGGGGTTAAAGTTTTGACAATGTGTCCAGGGGTGACTGATACCAATATGATTGACGAATCGAGCACCTACGCTTTGGAGGGCTTTGGAGACCTTGGAAAACTCGTGAGCGAAGGATTGGCCAATCTGCCACCCCAACCGTAATGCAATTTCAATAATTAGTTATTATACTATCGTGACTTTTTTTAAAGAGCTTCAGCTTGTGGGGACTGCTTGATCAAAATGTTGTGCAACGGCGAAAATGGAGGCATCTGGGTTATTGAAGAAAGCGAGTGTTACAAAGTTCGGCTTCCAGACCGCCAGACTCTCCGTGTTTGTGATTAAACTCTGTTACTCGTATTTTGTAAATTATCGGTTTTAAAAAACTTCCAATAAATGTTTCGGCAATTTACAATTTTTATCCCATGGCAGTCACCTGTCTAAAATTTTGTTGTCAAATTTGGTCATGCAACTTGTCAAAATTATCAAATATTTTTTCAGATCGTTTCAATAATGTTTAGGTTACTGTTTTTAAAAAGTATTAGAAATATTGCCTCTATTTTCTTAGCGAAAAGACTGCAATGGCCCAGGTTAGTTGCAATTTAAGCGGATCAATATTATTTTTTTCAAATTTTAGAAATACCCTGCACAACTCGTCTATGGCAAGAGGCAAAAACGTGGTTCAAACAGAACAGCCCCCGAAACCTAACAAGGAAATATTTTTCCCACAATTAGGCCGCGATGGTATAAAAGACAAAGTAGCTTTAGTGACTGGGGGCACGGATGGAATTGGCTTGCGATGTGTGAGAGAATTGCTAAGAACTGGAGCTAGGGTAAGGCCGAAAACTGAATAAAACAACATTAACTGACCTCGTAAAAGGGAGTAATGATTGCAGACACAAATGAGACCAAGGGTTTCAATCGAGTGATAGAGTTTTCAAAGGATTATGGCCAAAATAGGGTAGCATTCATTCAGATCAACCCGGCTAATTATGTTTTGCTTAAAAGTCTCGTTTTATTGACAGATAATCTCATTTTACTTTATGAATGAATTACAGATGCGTTTATTAGCACCATAAATTTCTACAAGGGCTTGGACATTGTTATTAATAACATCAGGTTTAGAGAAAAAAATTGGGAAGATCAGGTTGACGAAAACATTGTGAGTTGTTTGACTGTTTTCGTTTGATAATACAGCTTTGTGTTATGACAGAAAGGGATCGTCTTAAGTACACAGCTCTGTTTGGAATTTATGGGGCGCAATAATGGAGGAAAAGGAGGAATTTTATTAAACATAGTTTCTGAATATGAAGAAAACAGTGATTCCTGTCCACTACATAGTGCTTGTCAAGATTTTGTTGTCCGCTTTGATCGATCAGTGGCAACATCACATTTCGAGACTACAAATGTCAAAGTGCTAACAATTTGCAAAGCAAGGTCTCTCTTCGCCCTATAATAACAATTCCGAGTAATTTAATATTTCTTCCAGTTTTGATACGATTGGATGCGATTTAACTACGATACTAACAAAAGGAACCAACGGTTGTGTTTGGATGCCTTGCACTTGTCCATCAGATTCTTAATAATAATTTGTGTCTAATTTGTATATGAACAAGGTATTTTTTAATAATGACTGTCTTATCCTCTCATTTTCCATTCTGTTTGAATCAATAGAGTTGTTAAGTACAAATCAGACTAATTAATGAACGCTGTTAAGTGGATTACACTAAAATTTGAGTTTATGTGTTTGACGGGTGTTAAACCGCAATTGCTGGAATGACAACCCAATCTCGCTTTGTCCAAAATAATATGTCTCTACCATGGGATACATTCGTTACTGATGTCTTTAAATTTTAACGAAGCGCAACACGCTCGTCCTTGTTATGTATTTATGCAATGAACCGCCAAAATGTCATTTACTGAGCCAAAATCAGATTTTAATTTTTACGGAACCAATTCCAATGTGACATATTTTTAGAAAAGCCTTGCCAATTAAAAATGGAAATAAGGATATTAAGCAAGAAACTCTTTGAAAAATCACTTGTTGAACCAATAGCCATCATATAGCCTTTTATTTCAGCTTTCCAATGTCTCGTGGCACTATAAGCCAAATCAATTTCTCGTGCACATAAAACATTTTTATATTCTTGTACATGTGAATAATAAAATTACAGCACAAAAGCAGTTTCCACAAATAGCGAATGTGCAGTTTTTCCCTCATTCTTCATAAATTACAAATAACTATATTTTGTAGTTGTATTTCTTCGACTCCCGTTATTACAATTAGCTATTACCTATTTTCCAAAATCAAAAAATTTTCAATAAAATAGTTCTTATTTAACCAAATATCTTTCTATAAAACTATTTTCAATAAATTATCTTTTTATGTGGGGCTGCATAATAAAACTTCATTCTGTCAATAGAAAAATGTGAGAACTGATATACCTAATGTAACCAAAGGTTTAAAAATTTGTAACACATTTTTATAGAAAATGTGTGGAATCTAAATAGCAGTACAAAGTACAAAAGTGCCACTGAATTCAAAGTATTTGTGAGTAATGAATGATACGCATTTTTTTGGATTACCGAGAATGATTACCCAATAACAAACATTCATCGGGTTAACATACATAAAACTACGCATTTAAAGTTAAAGAACCCATAGGTGGAAACGAAAAATGTAGCATCTTTTCCAGTTTTGTTGTGTCCATTTCTTGTCTTGTGAAACAAGCAATTGAAAACTTGAAATCTAACACAAAATCCGGGCTAAATCTCATAATAACATTTCTGTTTTCTGTTACAAAAGCCTCGGTATATATTTTCTCATGGCGTCTTAGATTATGTGTGGTGGTGGTGTTGTATTACTTTTGTCAAATGTTTATCCAGGTAGTTTGTTCTTTCTGAGCCTGGAGGAAATCAATACCTGCACATCAATTTTGTGGTACGTTAGAATATCCTGAGATTTTCGGCTCGAATTATTGCAGGTAGTGCGAGATGTTGTAGTTCAGTATTTGCCTAATGCACCCCAAATCTGCAAATCTCCCTGTAACAAACCCGAACCGGATCGGTGTAAAACCAAGACTTAGAAAAAAACGTGAATTTTACAGCGCATATACTTTCCGGACCATTACCTTCCTCGCATTGTACACTTGGTCGATTTAAATAGTTTAATCCTTTATAAAAATCATCCATGCAGGAAATCCGTAAAGCGAGCTGAAAATGCTTAGGTCGCAGGTCAAAAATTGTACAAATTTAGAGCACTTCCAGTGATATATTTTTATTTGCGTTGGCACTTAAAAGCGGTTTTCGCTACAGTTGGTACCGGAGTTATTGGGTTTGGGATACTGCGATGGGAACTCCGATGGAACTGTATGAAAACATGATAATAATGTCAGATTAACCTTTGCGCTGCTTTTAATGAATGGTGTCAACTTCACATTAAATGATCGCACTCGTGATTCTTTGTCTCCTAAATAGTACACCCCAATGTGCTAAATTAGGTGAAAAAATTGTAATCAAATTGTGGCAAATAAGGCAAAGAATGCTATTTTTAGACTGCCACAAACCGCAGAATCGTGAATGGTTATTTTATAATGCATTTATAAATTAACAATTTTTTTGATATGTAGATATTATTTCTGTTTCTTCTTGTCCTATTTCGTAATAAAATAAAAAGCACGATTTCTCCTGTGTCACAAATCTCTGCCATACGTTCCATTTCAATTTAGACATTCTTAAACTCTAATTCGCTTGCTTTTAGGAAGGAAATCAAGTAGAAACTTGATTAAGTTAATGTAAGGCTAGTGGTTGATTAGAATTTCTTATCGGCGTTTAACTAAAGGCACTTCCATTTTACGCTTGATCTTGCGAAAGTTTACCAAAAGTTATTTTAATGTTATTGAACTTGCTTTACAAATTTTCAGTGTAATAAATCAATTTAGATAATTGGTAATTATGTAGTTATGGAAACTGGTATGTTTAGTGAATTACATTATTAGTCCGAACATATACAATGTTTATTTACCAATTAGTTGCAATAAATAAAATTATAAAATATCAAAATTAAGCTAATTTTTATGTATTATAATTTCACCGTTCAAAAAAAAAACTTTGGTGAAAAATGTATTAAAAAAATTTGTTTCACTCAATTAGTCACTTGTTTTTTCGTTTTTCGTGAATACTTTTTAAAAATATATTGTGAAAGAAGTGAAAAGTTTTGCAGGAAAGTAGAACGCGCTCAAGCATCCAGTCGATTCAATTATTAAAATTCATTCAAGTATCTTGTTTGAGTATTCATCGTCTGAAACAATGAACTCTTAATGTTCGAAAATCCAGTAAAACTGTTATCAATAATTTATCAGTTGACAGTCGCGTGGGACATCCTCTCACAAAATGCGAAAACCATCAATGTGAGATAAAAACGTTTGTACATTTTGATGGTTGATACACTTGTAAGGCCGAGATTTAATGATACTCAAGGTCTTTGTTCATTAATGAAAAAGTGCTTAAAATAATGTGTGGGAGTGCACTAACTGTAATTACAGCTGAACGTCTTAATACTCATCGTATAGCACATGTTTCTTCAGAGTTTACATATTCATCGTTTATTTAATGTGAATTTAGAGTAAGCCGAATCTAGCTCCGCATTAGCATTCACAAAATAAACATGTTTTATGCTGCCATCTGTGTCATGCATTTATTTCATCTTCTGGAACACTGAGGTTTACCACTAGCAGGGGGAATAATCTGGGTTTAGCTAAAGAACAAGGACGAGGACACAACATCGAAGGGCAGACAAAGATTTTTGTAACTCTACTATGTTGCAAAAATAATCGTAATTATTATTATTATTAAAAAATAAGGTCAAATGAATTGACATTGAACTTTAATTTTGCGATTTCAAATTTTCCTCCCGTTTCAACCAATTACCTAACTAACCCATTTGATAGGCCCAGAAGACCCAAATGTAATGAAAATTGGCGCAACAAACAAAGCTAACTGTCACATAGATATAATAACAAATCCCGGAAGAATTCCGACAAAATTGGGAACCGATAAGTCGATAAACCGTTTTATGTTGGCTGCAAAGAATGATTATTTTGTTCTATCACTCAAGGATTTATGGCACAATAAAACCACTGAAACGACATTTAAATGAGGCTATTTTAACTATTTAGATTTTGTTCAAGTTAATTGGTGGACATTTTTCGGTATTGTCTGTTCTGTTAAAAGGCAATTTCTTTACTAATCACCTAAGCAATGGCGGTGATAATCCTTTTAAGATGTTATAAAAGCGAAATTGGCCAGTTATTACTGAAATGTGATATCTTAGACAATAGTTGGATAAAAAATCACAAGAAGATTGTGTTAGTAGCATAATAATAAGAGCAAAATACGTTTTCCAGTAGAATAGTTTTCCTACTGTTGAACTGAAGTGCACTTTTTGTGGATGTTTTTCCACAATTAACCTTCCTTTCACGGTTTGTAGACCAACAATTCTATTCTAGATTTCAGAAAAAAGCCCAAAGTAAAGTGGGTGGAAATAAAATTACACTTACATTATACATAATTCTCTTCGAAATTTTAAATTTCAGTTCTGCTAAATTTTGTTTTCTGATGTTATCGCATCAAGGCCTAAAATTTAATTTTGTAGAAAGGGTAAAGAGCATATTTGTTAAGCTGTGTGTAGAACGTGATAATGTTCGTAATTACACATTATTCTTTGTATCTTCTTGGAATGTATGTATAAATGGATGAAGTAAAACGAAAAAACAAAGTGGCTGTCTCATTCATAAATACATACAATTTAAAACAAGAAGTTTTTTCGCTTTAAAACTTACATTTAGAATAGAACTACGCACAAATAACTCTTGTTTTTCTCGCATTTTTAATTTATATTATATATTCTTTGCCTGTGACATTTACAAATTTACATGATTAAAAAACAATTAACAATTTGTAACTTGTTTCTGGTAGTTTACATTAGATGAAAGCGGTTTAGCTACTTTTAACAACCATCTGAAAGTTCCCGAAAAGCGACGGTGACAACACTTTCAAACCACTGCATCAGTGGTGGAACATTCGTTTTTAAGAAAAACAAAAAAAAACCGTTCTCATCATACTAACAGCCATAAAATTTAAAATAACAGTAAATCGACACATACCTAGCTACGAAAGAGTTATTTCTAGCACGTGAAGAGTGCGAATTACCCGTTGAATGTTTACCCTTCTATTTCTAACACAATCATTAATTACTTTATTATTTACGGTAAAAAAACTGTAAAGTAACAAAGTCAAGATTCCGACTTTTATGACTCCCAATTTAAGCAAATATTTTTCAATTTGACACAATTTTAATTGAATAATAGAAATTCTTGTCCAAGCAGGAAAAGGAAATCCATTACATTACATCACTCTATACATCAAAATTAGTTAAAACTTGTATGGCAGTGTTAGCGGAAATCTAGCCAAAATTAACGACATATTGACCCGTCCATCAAGTTTATTGTGTGGACAAGTAACAGCTCTTTACTGTGTAAAATCCATCAGAAGCTGGAATTTAAACTGTTTTAATCTTGTAATTAATTATCATGCAGTTCGTTTATTTTCTATTACAATAATAAATGGAATGCATTTAAAGGAACAACCTTGACTTTGACTCTAACTCCTGAATGGAATAAATTCCGAATTGTGCAAAACCCGTAATTTTAAGCTTGTTATATTGTTACATTTTTGCTACCATATGTAATTATTTTAAAAAAGGACGAAATTATACCTCAAATAATTAAGCGCAAATTGTATTTCCTTTACGAGTTATTGGGAACTTTATGACACTAATATACAGGCTGTCGAATGTATAATTTATCCATTATTTACCGATATATACTGTATATATTATACTCGTTTGCCTGCACAGGAAAGAGCATATTGTTGAATAGAGTATCTCAGTATCAGTAGGTACATTTTGTACTTTGTCACGAATAGGATTTCTTATGTAACAGACGCGTGCTTTATTGCATCAAAAACATACCTTACACCTTTAAACCATTTATTATCGCTTTATTTGCGATATTACATGTCACGTCTTGAGGTACAACAGCAATTTGTGGACAGATAGTAGACATCACAATCATATTCTACACAAGACTTTGAAGAAGCAAACGTAGTTTGGGTTTTCAACAAAATTTGACAATTAACCCAATAATTAATATCTCATTAATCTTCCAGCATTTGTAGTTTAAAGTTCAAGTCCATTCTTTAAAATTGTAGTTTTCAATATGACATTTTAATTGAAATCATTAAGATTTTCAATTTTTCCAAGGCGCAACCCTGTACGTAAAACATAATTAGTTAATCTAATTTTAAGTAATTGAGATTTAATTTAAATATTTGTTAATCCAGAATTTGTCCTGCAAGCATTAATTCCAAAAATTTCTGATTTGGCCTAGAAAAATATGCATTTCCCACAAGATCCATTAGCTAAATAGCATTTCTTTTCGTATGCATAACCCACCTTGTCCGAACTTTGTATTGATCCAGCTTATGAAAAACCTACCAAAAATGAAATAAATCCACTAACAAGGTCGTATAATTAATAAGACTTCGTTTCAGAACTTTTTTACCTCTCCTGCTTTTTGTAGAGATGTTTTCGATCGACAAGAGGTCATTATTAGACAGTAATAAATAACACCACTTTTGTAGACAAACGGCTCAATTAAAACAGGACGATCTAATTTAACAGAAGTTATTACAAATTTTACGATAGTGTCATCGAAGGAAGGTTTGAGGACAGAAGAAAAGAATCAGCAAGTTTTCGTTCTTCCCAATGTAAAATACTCGTACAAAGTCCTCATCAAGTTTTTATTCCGTCCCAGGAGAAATCGACTGATGGGAACCGGAGAAGGTAGAGCCAAACTTTCTTCGACATGGATTCTGATAAATTTTGAAATGAGCAAACATAATTGTGTGATTTTGTCAATAACAGGCTGAAACGACTTTCGCAGAAGTGCATAGAGGTTTTGCCAAGAACGTTTGAAAGAACATCGAATGTAACTGCCGTTTTGCAATGAAATGAATTATTAATGAATATTGACTTCTAGTGACAAATTATTCTAGCAAAATCTAAACATTTGTGCCCCACTTTAGGTGTTGATATCGTTTCTAGAATAACCTTAATGCGCATAAATCGTATAATAATTTGCGTTATACCGATTTTTATTTTCCGTAAAAAATTTATAGCTGAATTGCATTTAAGCCAACTGCGTCCGTAAAAATGGCGTAAAATTACATACCTACTAGTAAAATTAACTGTGGGCGCAATCCACGGACCGGTAAATTATTCATAACTCCATTAAAATTAATATCAACGTAAGTATAAAATCTATAAAGCTCGGGTAATTCCCTCGTAGTTATAAAGTTCTCCAAATTAAAGTAAAACAAATTTTACATACTTAAGTCCGAAAGCTTCCAGTGTTTATTAATTACAAAATGAACATGTCCGCGGTATCACAAGTAAATTTAATAAGCCGGTTTTCATATAACAAGTTGTGCATTTTTAATTGCATGTTTCCAGAGGAAATTATCGACAAGTTTTTAACTCTGGAAGTAATCCTCTTTACTGAAAAACAAGAAAATCCCCATAAATGCTTTGTAACTAAAACGAGAATTGCGAATTACACCTCTATTTTCAACTTTTCTACAAGTGAAATGAAAACAGTGCTTTCAAAGCACATGTAAAAATTTTCATTATTATCTTTAACACGACATTTGCTTTGTGTACAAAATAATAATAAGTTTTGTAGAGTGAAATTCTTTTTAACCATTCCCTTAACATTTTTTAGATATATTCAAGAATAAAAAGTTTAATTAGAGAGACTCGTATCATACAATGGTAAAGCAGAAGCAATAAAATGTCCACATCTTGTATCTTATTCTTTAACGGAAGGTCATAGAAAAGTTTATTTCTTACTTCTAGAACCCTAATTTTATTAACAACTAGTCGAAACTGCCAAACTTTGCTGAGACAGAGTTTAGAAAATACAATAGCTAGAGCCTTAATTTTTGCTACCTATTTAGTTAATGTAATTTAGTATTTAAGACGATAGTTTTTGATTTCATGCCGAATGGTGACTCAGTTTAAAGTGTCACTTCCACTGTGTATGCATTTAGGAAGTAGTCAAGATTGTTGCTAAAGGTGTCAATGCCAATTTTTATTGCTGATTCAAAATTATAAAACAAGTGTATAACTTGTGTCATGAGAAATTGCAGTTAATCACATGGTCATGAAGTATTACAAGATAAAATGTCTGGAAGCATGTTTTTGCAAGAATTAGCAACTTAGATTTGGTTGCTATTAGCATTTTGCACTTTTGTGTGGTACTTACCGAAAGCTGGAGCATGGATGAATGACCCAGTGTCCGGCGGCCTTCTGCCGTATCCGTTCCTTCATGAGTGCCTTCTTGGAACCGAAGAGTTTCATGGCAAGTTTGTTGTCAGTGGGCTGAAAGAGGGCCTGCAGTTGGTTCTTGATGAAGCTCTGTTTTCCGGCTTCGGCCGATCCGAGGGGAGTGGGCCCCGGTTCCTCTTTGGGGGTGCCGTAGAGCGAGACATCGTCCACGCCGAAGTGGACCTTGCCGCTGCCCTTGTAGTTCATGTCGTTGGAGAGGTAGTCCGCGATAAGCAGCGTCTCGTCATCGAGTGCGGTCACCAAGGAGTCGGTGCACGTGTTGGTGTTCTCGATGCTGATCTTGATGGAGTCATCCTTGGCCAAGCGGCGCGGCGGCGGCGAACGGATCTCTTCTTCGGACTGAGCCGCGGCCACCCGTCCGTTCGCTAGCCGGAGACTGGGCACGCGCCGAGCTCCACCGCGTCTTTCTCCACCGTCCCCGCCGCCGTCCCTGCAACAAGCAACACGACAACATCACCACGTGCTCTCTCGACGGCGACGAGATCCACACCGACATATGTTGCCGGAAAATCGCGTCCGGAACTACGCTCGGAATACCAAGCGGACGGATGAGTCCCACCTATTTTACGGGACTTGACTTTCTAAGGGCAAATTCCGAAGAGAAAGGGTAAGGGTTTAAAAACGCGTTCTGTGTTACGATGGTCATTATTATGCTCTTCGTTCATTCAAAAATCGAATATAATTTTACCTCTAGTTTTAGCAGTAAACTCTCTTTTATTCTTTCAAAATATTTTTAGTATATCAATTTTACTCATTATCCAAATTATTCTCACTATAATACACAATCATCAATCATTATATGAAAATAAATCCTCTTCTAGATTTCTGGAAAAAGCTGTCATTCGTATTTGTTCCTAATATTGATTTTATTTTTATTGCAGACCCATTTTTTTATTCCAACAATATCAAAATTAAAAAAAAATAAATAAACCAAAAATATTACGATTATAACACATAAGAGTACAAATACATTTACATATTTCTTTTAAAAGTATGTTTTGGATTAGTCCTGAATTATTCAGGAAAACTCTACATTCTTAATGAAATGAGATAAAAACAAATTTTCAATTTCGATATCTACCTTCAAAAATTCGTCAAAATGTTGACATTATTTATGCTAATTTTATATTTGCTTTTCTTTTTTGTAGCTATAGTGAATATATAAGTCATAAAACACTCTTTACAAGTTTTTCTCCTCTTTGAAATTCTTCTCGTATTTCTTCACTATAATACGTGTCTTAATTAAAAGTCAAGTTTGTTATTTACGAGACGATATAACAAGTTTCTAACATAATGCCTTGTCTAGAATAAATAGCACATTAACGTAAGCATTTTATTTTCTATACTACATAAATCTAATATTAAATTAATTGCGATGTAATTGAGCTTATACAAAATAAAAGCAAATTTTACCAAAATTTTATAATTTTCATGGATAGCTTTGACGCCAAGTTTAAAAATACACCTGTTAGTTAATAGAGGATAAGTACTTGGGTTAAATTATTTTTAAAACACCGGCCAACTAAGTGTAAGTATGTACATTTTTGAAAATGATTAATTAGGTACATGCGTATCATTCACAACTCTATTTTATTTTAATGGAAGAATTGTAGCGTTTTTCATTTTTGATACATTTTTGCTGTGAAACGTGCTCGAAAGAGGCAGATGATGCTTATCATGCAGATAAGAGAGGCAGATGATGCTTATTTAGTTCCTGCTTTGAGAAACAAAGTGACAGAGACAAATTGAAGATTAATTTTCAATTTTTTATAATTGCAATATTTCATCAGAGTAACGAAAATTTATTAAGAAAATTGAAGAAAATTGTGTTTTTTAAACTTTTGACCTTACTTTGACCCTCCTAATTTTCCAGAAATAAAAAAAATCATAGTTTTATTTAAAATGTAAATATTTCCACCGGTCACGGTAATTTGCAAAAGAATGGTTATATAATCCGACAAAGGTGGCTCTTGGCAAAGCAGGTTTGGTTATAAAAAATGCGGTTTATAATGATTTGAATAACAACAATTTATTTTTTAGATATTTATCTTATTATTGTGAATTGTCCAATAGAATAATTCTGCTTTTCTTAACTTTTATAAAAATATTTATCTACTTTAATAAATAATACAAATCACCTTAACCAGAATGTCGGAAAGAAACAAATCTACTACGTATTTTAATTAGTTAATTGCCTCTTTTGTTATTTAATTTTTAATTAACATGATTATGGCTAAGTAATTACTAATTATGTCTAAGCAGACAATTTATCTTAATTTTTTGAATCCATGTTTTTTACACATAGTTTGGAAAAATGATAATTTTATGTATTCCCACATTCTTGAAATTTACTTTTATGTCTGTAGTGTTTCATATACTCGTAGATAAAGATAACTATTAATCTTAAATGATTTGGTCTCGGTTTTCTACAACTAATTGAAATGTAATTAGCATTTATTTACAGCGACACAGCAAGCAAAATCTGTTAGAAATCAGAGTTAATGTTCTAGATTATGCTACAAAATTCTAAAAAAAGTAAGTTTACAATCAATGGCGAAAAAATCAAATATCCTTGTGATCGTAAACGTCGATCCGTTTATTTTTCCACATGTCCTATGACTCCTATATTTTTTAATAACATACCTAGTTGGAGGCCACATAAGCTCGACTATAAATAATATTTTCTAAAATCAATTTTTTTACTGTGCTTATAAGTAGGTCGACTTATGTGAAAAAGATATAAATTAATGATAGTATTTTGGGTTATTGTAACTTGTTAGGTCAAGTTCAATTGTACTTGCAGCTGTCTTTTGCTAAAAAGTAGTGCACGCAATCTATTTAGCAATCACAGACTCTATGACTTGCATTAAACTATTTTTTATAAAAATTTTACTTTGCCATGACCAAATAAATGGTAACTAACATACTTTTAAATGAAAAAAATCATTTCAATGACGACAGCGCATCCAAATTGCTCGCCCAATAATTAAAATTCGAAAGGTCAAAGTGATTATATTGCTTTCCCACAAAATGCAAAAAAGCCAAAATAAACCAATTATTTATTGTTGAGTACCTGTGTTCTGGACGTCTATGACGCCGATCGGATATTATGGACCGGAAGAAATCCAAGTTGTAACAATGTCAGTGAATTTCAAACAATTTAACAAAAATTCCAGTAAACTATTAAGATAATTAAGTCACATGAGCGTATGGTGATCACATTGAACTTAAAATTAACTTGATTCATTATTGTTGAGCTGAATTATAAAAGTCAGATTTGTCCACTGCTCGAACACCGAACTGAAGTAAATCTTCGAAGTCAACAATAACAACAACAATACAATTAAATCACTTATTTTGTCAAGTAATAACTAGAATTTAATTGTGAAGCTATAAAAAGACCAAATCGTAAAATCAAAAACACTCCGCCAAACCAGGGAAATATTTTTTAATTCAGGAAAATGTGACTTACTCACGCTCGTGTTTGGTTGAATGAATAATCCTTTTTCTTTTTGTAACAGATGCAACAGTGTAACTTCTGGAAATTTACCGCCGGCAACAACTGTAGAATATCTCACTAAACCAAACAGTAAACACTAGTTAAAACGCGAATGGAGACCAAGCACGGCTCTTTATTACATGTAAAGATCCGACTCAATAAACTTACATGATCTAAAAATTTGTCACACTGTCAAACATGTTAATTTTGACCTTAACTCTTGGTCAGTGGTGAACCTCAAAACTTCGTGAGGTCCCATTAACTCGCTTTCTACTTAGTATGAGGTGCTAATATAAGACTAGAAGACTATCTTAAATTGCTTTTTGTTGGAGTGACCGTTTTTCCTACCACTGAAGAAATAGCATTCCAGATTTATCAGCCGTAACATTATGCTATTTCAAAGAGTAGCAACATATTGTTTCATATTTTAACATATGTTCAACTTATCTTATATTTACATTTTAATTACCGCGTGCATTATTAATTAAGTAAATAACGACTAGTTTTATTATCTTATTATCTCGTCGTATTGATTTCTAGAATTTTTTCTCTAAATTAATCGCAGAAATCATAATAGAACGTGATCAAATTGAGTTAAAATTCAGTGCTGCCATTTGTCTTCATTTATTTGTTGTCTCATTTTTTTGCGTATGTTTGTTTCAATAACCAAGGTACGCGATATAACAGTTTTAACAACAAAATTAATAAAGCAATTGTAAAAACAAGTCAACGAGGAAAAAATTAATTTATTGCATTGATTTCCTATTTTTATGCATGAAACATCATAGAGGACGAGGTATTTTCGGTTCATTTTGTAGCTCGAAGGAAATGTCTATTCGGAAGTAGGTAACGGTTTAATACCAAGAGGAAGACGTGCGTAAAATTTATTAACCCCAACCTTGCGAACCGCTGGAATTACACAAGAAAAGTTTGTGTCTTTGCGTCCAGGTAGAATTATTCAAATGACTTTTTTTATTTACTAGTTTGAATTTGTGTTCATTTCGTATTCAGTGAGTCGATCAATGAATTTCTAATTCGAAAAGCCTGATTTAGGTCGAAGCACGCTCACAAAATCACTCGAAAAAATCTTGCGTGAGCAGTCGTGGCCGAGCGGTTAAGGCGTCTGACTAGAAATCAGATTCCCTCTGGGAGCGTAGGTTCGAATCCTACCGACTGCGTGCGGTTTTTTTAATCACTTGGTTTTTTAAAAATGGATTTGGTTAGAAATTGCTCTGCATGCTGTTACTTTTTCACGAAATAATCCTTCACTGGAAGCGTCAAGTTCACTCCAGGTTGCGATTCGATTGATCCAATTTCGGCTGTTGTGACGTCACGGAGGCTCCCTCTAGAGCTTTCTGAATGATGGATGTCCCCACCTGTGCGCTCCGGTTCGTATAACGATACCGCCCGGATTAAATTGTGTTTGCAGAATGTGTGAACTAATGGCCGGTTTGTAAATCATCTTGAACAGCTATCTATTGCGACTGCAGGTCAAGTTCCTCAAATGCGAGCCAATTTTTTCCGCTAAGAAAATTGATGGGGTTTCGTGGTAGGTTAGTCCCGATTTCCGCTGAAATCCTGAACGACCTTTCTCCGGAAATATCGCTCGCTGCAATTTTAAAGCGCGCTGAAAACGAAACAATCTTACATTGAGTCGAGAAACTTTTCTCGGACTAAATAATTTATTTCCAAGTCTGGACTCGAAAAAATCGAAAAGGTCGCTGTAAACTTTTCATTTTGCCAAACCTTGGACCGGTTAAAAATTGATGTCGTTGTGAAGAGGTTGAGGTAGGCGTCGTATTTTTCAACAAAAAGCTAATCAATAAGGCACAGCCGTTACAAATCCTCGAGAGACGGCCGTCCATGGCCCTCCCAATTGATTTTCCACCTTCATTTCCAACTTTTACAAAAACTAGTGCAATTCAAAAGAT